AAATCCAACTGTTTGAAAAGTCATTCAATTATATTCTTTCCTCCTCTTTCCCCCCTGCGGAGGCTTTTTGTTTTTTCTGCGTTTATTCACTTTCACGCTGGCCAGACACGGCTTCCCCTACATATATTCCCCTTCCCTATTCCCCCAACTGCCAACGAACTCCAACGTAACCATTCCAATTTTCAACTCTGTGCCCTCCTTCCTCAATCTTTCAACTTCTCTTCTTCTGCACCGTTTGAATTTCTCTCATCAAAATCCATTCTTTCTCGGCTTCTTGATCGATCATATGGATCACGAGATTGATGTCCCTCCCTTCTTTATCTGCCCCGTTTCATTGGAAATCATGAAGGATCCGGTGACCGTGTCCACCGGTATTACCTACGACCGCGAGAGTATTGAGAAATGGCTGTTCTCAGGGAAGAGCATGACCTGCCCAGTCACCAAACAACCCCTATCGGACGACACCGATCTCACCCCCAACCATACCCTTCGCCGATTGATTCAGGCCTGGTGTACCATGAACGCTTCTCACGGCATCGAAAGGATCCCCACGCCCAAGCCCCCAGTCACCAAGACCCAGATTTCCAAGCTCATCAGAGACGCTTCCCGATCACCTCACTCCCTGACTCGCTGTCTCCGAGAACTCAAATCTATTGCTTCCGACAGCGAAACAAACAGACGCTGCATGGAAGCTTCGGGTGCTGTTGAGTTCTTAGCATCCATTATATCCACACCTCACCCCAGGCGGAGCCTAACCAAGACGAGGCCTTAGGTATCCTCCACAACCTCCACGTCTCGGAAGCTAGCCTAAAATCTCTCATAACCTTCAGAAATGGAGGGCTAATAGATTCCTTAACCACGGTCATGCAGAAAGGAGTCTACGAGTCACGAGCCTATGCAGTCCTTTTACTGAATTCAATGTTCCAAGTCGCTGATTCTTCACGCCTGTTCAACATAAGATATGAGCTATTCGTTGAATTAGTGCAAATTCTCAAAGATCAAATCTCCCAGCAGGCTACATACGCGACGCTGCAAACACTGATCCAGCTCTGCCCGTGGGGAAGAAACAGGCACAGAGCAGTAAAAGTAGGGTGTGTTTGGGAACTGATAGAACTGCTTCTGGATTGTGAGGAGAGGAAGGTGTGTGAGATGATGCTAGTGTTGTTGGATATGCTGTGTAGTTGTGCTGAGGGAAGAGCAGAGCTGTTGAGGCACGGGGCAGGGCTAGCCGTCGTGTCGAAGAAGATTCTGAGGGTTTCGACTATGGCGAACGAGAGGGCGGTGAGGATTCTGCTGTCTGTTTCCAAGTCCTCGGGGACTGCCAGTGTTGTGCAGGAAATGATACAAGTGGGTGCGATGGGGAAGCTGTGTTTGGTGATGCAAATGGAGAGTGGGAGCAAGACGAAGGAGAAAGCTAGAGAGATTCTCAAACTCCATGCTCTCGCATGCAAGAACTCTGCATGCATGCCCGGCAGTTTGGGTTCATACTTAGCTTGAACGCCGAGCAGATTTGGCTTTCCGATCTCTTGATTTTACTATTTCAAGTCGCTCTTTTTGGTTTTGTCGTATTGTTTGTACAGGAACACAAAGTTGTTTGGACAGGAACGTATTATGAACATCCATTGGCATCAAGTATGGCCCATTAAGGAAAGGTTCGGTGTCAAATTGGGTTTCTCCGCACAGTTTCTGATAATGCGACAATAAGGGGAGGCTAATTAGGTGTCAAATGTGGCACATATATAAATGGGCTATTTCCATGGGGGGATCCATTTCGTTTTCTTCAGTCTTATTCTTCTTTTCCTGTTTATGTACCCCCGTGTTTGTAAATAATGGACAACACTTGTAATTGAGCCACTTTATAATTTTTCAAAAATACAGGATAGTATAACCAAGTGGGTGTACATACGTATATAATTATTAGGACCAAGATCAAACAACACGATTAAAGAACAGTTTAATGAGGTAAATTCTAAAATGATTAAGAAGAATCAGGCGTTAACTTTAAGAACAATTATATGATTGAAATTATAATTAATTGTGAAGCGCGAATACGGGAAAATTCTGGAATGTATGATATGGGCACAATAGCATTTCTATGAACGCAGTTGAGAATTTAGTGAAAATATATATCAGCACGCAAGATTAAAAGCTTTGACCATTTCAACATCCGGTTATGCATATGCAAGAACCGTTTTACAAATTCCATTACTTTGGAGCTTCACGTTCACCCATGCCCAATTGATGATTACATTGCGATGATTTGTTTAGTTTTCACAGCCAATAATAATTGACACAGAATGCGCCTCCAGTGAAAAATTAATATGACATGTTCTCCTAATTAAGAAGCAAAATAAGTGTTATGCGTTACCCGAATACTCCTGGTCTAGTGGTGACGGGCTAGGCCACAAGTGAGGCGAGTCTCTGCTCTTTGAGGGCGGGGTTCGAATCCTCACTTGTTAAAAAGGGTACCGGGGAGGGCTTACTTGTCGCCCGGCCCGAATCCGGACTAGTCGATCGCTCGGGTACAACTGGCCCAAAGAGGCTGGGGCTCAGAAAAGGCGCGGTTGGATGCCGGATGGTTTATATAAAAAAAAAAAGTGTTATGCGTTTTTAATTTGTTGGTCAAGAAATATATGTATGTGAATAGAACTCCAGGCATATATAAGGAAGACGCAATTTAAACTCAGAGACGTGGCTGTTTGCTTAAAAATATTGTAAAGCGGAAAAGCAACTTGTAAAGAAGCTTTATGGTGCGCGTATGTTTGACCTGAGAATGCATAATAAATGAAAGAAGTCTGATAAGAATGGCATAGGAAGAAGCTAAGGCTGAATAATGAGGAAGCCGTGCGGGTCCTTTAATATTATCGATGACAAATATTCTTATCGCTCAAATTGCTCATATATATATATATAGACACACACACACACACACATAGACAACACATCCACATGGTTGGTGCAAAGCTAGTTAAGCCACAGCTTGCACTTCAATCACACCCCCTTCTATATGGCGCATCAACAGCGTCATATGTGAGCATTCTTATGGGATAACTGCATACTATTCATACAAGCAGCTGGGTTCCATTATACGTACACATGTTAGAAGGGAACAAATTTAAGTCAAGTTACTTATATCTATTCGGTCTAATTTGTAGATAAATTTATAATTGTCCATAAATATTTCAGCAATCAGCAGTAGCAAGATAATAAGTATCTGTGTTTCATGAGTGAATTTATAAGTGTACATACTTATTTTAATAATTAATAATAGTAAAATAATAAGTGTCCATATAAAAATTTACAAATCTTCATTTATATTACCAGAGCCGATACAAAAAGTTTACAAGTATTTATAGGTGAATTTACTAGTACGCAGATACATTTTAACAACTAACAATAATAAAATAATAAGTGTGAGTGAAGAACTTAATCTAAGTTTTATTCGATAAAAAATTTCTCAAGACAACTGTATCTATGCTGAGTCATATAAAATATTAATTATCCCCGTTTGATTTATATCAATATTATTTTGGGCTCTTCGATCTTCAGCTAATATTAAAAAAATGATTGCGATTATTTAAAAAAAAAATACAACTTTATCTTCAAGCAACTGGCCAGCCAAATGAATATATGCGTGGGTGTGTGTGTGTTTAATATTCCATATACTACATTATATATATAAAAAATGGACATTTGTTGACTCGAAGTGGATAGTACGTGGGAGGATAGTTTCTTGGATCATGTGCGTTCTGGGATCATGTGCTGCACATAGTTTGAAGTTTGTGATTTCTCTCTTTTCCAAGTCTATACTTTCAAACTTTGAATTGTTTCCTCGTCAACCAAAAAATTAAAAAGAAAAAAAAAATAATTGGTCGTTTCTGGTGAGCTTTGGTCTTTGTACGAGGCCAACTCGCTATTATATGGAGCTCATAAATTTGGCAGGTGTTAACATCATCGATTTGGCAATTACCACAGCTTACATCGAATTAGAGAAGAGAACGAGAAACGAGCTCGAGAATTGGCTACTGATTACATGTAAATGACAAAAACCTTAATACATAAATTTGATCTGAATTATTAACCAGCAGCAACCAGATTATGACGATCGTATTAATTATTTCACAGGGGTGACATTTGAGATTTCCTGGGACACAAGTTGTAAACGATCCGAATACTTGTCAAATTAGGGTTTCGCTAACGCTAAAGCTTAAACGCAACCTTCAAACCTAACCGTACGTGGACTCTAAACTCGTGGCACTCCATTATTTAATACTCCTCTTGTAATTAATATATAATCTAATCATTGAGTTAATCTTGATTCTAAATATAAGACTTATTTATCATATTTATCAATTTTTTCTAAATTCTCTCTATTATTAATACTCCATAATCAAATAGGAGAAGAAGGGACTGTATTAAGAAGACAATTTTAGTATTTTAGGAAAAACATCATATTTTGCATAATTAACTAACTTATCTAATTTTTTTAATCTAATCAGATTTTACATTAAGGAGAGGAGGAGGAGTATTTCATTTTTGGGTAAAATATTTATGCCATTTATTTATTTACGTGTTTGTGTATATCTATTATCCGATGCGTATATCTATATATCGTTGCTTTCTAGATCATCAAATAATGTTTCCGATCGAGGGGCCACGGAGGCATATCGATTTCGAGCTCACTCAAAATCTGCAGACTTGACACCATGAATATTATGCATCAAAAGAACTTCAACCAGCGCACATGAAGAAATGCTTGCCCCCAGAATCATCATGAAAGACCAGAATGGATAAAACGAAACTGATATGTCTATAAATGAAGAAACTAAACGTGTTCAAGAGCTCGTAGAGTTTATCAGAGCAGGGGTGCTTTAGATATATATATAACTAACCCCGGGAGTATGTCTGTTTACATGTTGGAATTATGATGCATTAATCATATACATATATAACTATATGGAAAGCAAAACAAGGGCGACAATGAAGATAATCATATTGTGTCATGGCCTGGATAAATCGAAGTGGCCCCAATTATCCAATAAGAAGTCGGCATCATGAGCATCAGCACCAAAAAGAGGGAGCTGCGAGGAGTGCAAGCCAGAACCGGACCACATCATATCATGCAAATCCGCCTCTTCACCTGGCAATGGCGGCAACTCAAAATTCATAGCATCGTGACTACTGTTGCTACTACAACGCTGATCAATTCCATGATCTTCCAGATATTTCGGCATAGAGTTGAACCCATACAGGTACATTTGGTTACCCTCACTCAATTGGGATTCTGTCAAACACCCACTCACACCAAGTTTATCATCTTCTGATGGCAGACCCAAAACTTCTGCGCTTGGTGCTGTTGAATCTGGCTTTTGATTGAGGAAATTCGCATAAACAAGTGCAAGATCAATATTTGGAGCATCAGACACACCTGAGGAGCTACATGAAGATGGATTTGCTGCGCGATTACAATTATCTCCATGAGCTGAAATCTCGGGAGGAAGAGAATCCCCGGATGGTTGTCTGAAGGAGGTCTTACTGCCACGTCTGTTCTTCCGGCAGCCACCGCCGACGGGGACATTGCGGAGTGATCCTCCTTTGGTCCAGTACCTTCTGCACCCCTTGCAGAAGTAACGAGGTTGAGTCAAGCTGTAGTTATTGTAATAGCAGAACTTGGTGTTGCAAGACCCACACCTGGGACAGTTCGGTGATATCTCTACATTAGGCTTCCACCCGCTACTCTCCATGATTACTTGCTCTACTTTCTGCCTGCATCTGCCTCCTCAATCAACAGCACTGAGAAACAATTCTATCTCAGGAAGAGGGGTTAAGAGGTGGACGAAGAGTTATATTGAGCGTCGGGTTGAAGTTAGTATAGAGATGCACATGACATGAGAGCCAATCTTGGAAATGTCTAGTGCTTCCAAGCCATAAGCACATGACGATGCATGAGGGTAAGTTGGCCAGATGCGTGTCACAGCTCTGAATACACGGTGTCGGTGTTTGGCGTACGTGGCATGATCGCATTGGCGGAGATGAGGGTGACTGGGGAAGCAAAGGCCTCGGTTTTACAATTTCATTTTGAGTTTCCTTTCAACAGCAGACAGCGCCTTGATACGAGAATGAAGCACATCCCCACAAACAAACTCGTCCCTCAATACTTGCACCTACATCGAAATTCTCCCCGCAGTTTACCACCTCTTACTCATTTCCATATTTACACAAACATTTTTACCGTAGATGCAAATTCTGTATATTATAACTGTTGAGTAGGAAAAAGTAAAATACCTTCGATATCTGATCCCTTCTTTCTTGAAACTTAAGAAAAATGAAATCTTTGCTCAGTACTTACGAGTACATTTTTCTCTTATATCGTAGCTACAATGATTGGTGGGGGCTGTGTTCCTTATCTGCAAAGGTGGAAGTCACTTTCCATTGGGTTTCACCTTCATTGGCTGCTAGGTTTAAGCCGTACTTTCCAGTCATTATATCATATTTGTGAAAATAAACGCAATTCAACCAATAAATCACAGTCTATCTCATATGTAGTTGGACGGTTCACGAGTTTGAAATATACTATTGGTGCCTCTGGTTTGTTTAACTCCCATTTTAATATGACATATCTGTGTTTAAAGATTTTGCAAAGAGAAACGATAACCCATTGAAAAGGATTCAGATTGAGGCATAAACGAATTAGACAAACGACAAGTTAGTTAACTCGTTCACAAGATAAGGACCCTAACTTTTGGAGCCGCACACATACACTTCACCTACTTCATGACTAACGCAAGCAGCATGACTGGAGAAGGTGTGCATTACGGCTAAGCTTACTTTGGCAAATCATTATTTCCATGAATTACACTTAGAGCTAGAGTAAATGGTTTACATATGAGATGCCGCAGAAATTACCGCTCTCAGGCAAATACGGGATAACATTCTCTGCTAAATGCCTTCACTGGGCAAGGAGTCCTGGATCAACTGTCTAATACAAAGACAATGAATTTGAGGAAGCCTCAGGCTGAGTTGCTAGTACCATGATCATCTCCTAGCAACAATAGTCTTCTCTTTGCAACCTTGGATCTGTAACACCATACCTCAAACGCTTCCGTCAGGTCCGGATACCGAACATAGTCATTTGCTAACCATTCGGTTAAAACCTCAGCTTGGTCCCCTGATGGCAATGCCAGAATGATAGAAACAAAAGTTGATTCAAGGGATTGCCACAGTTCACCATCGAATTTGAGCGCCAGGGCATTATCGCTATTCATAGTTACAGAATCAATCATGGGTTTAGTAATCCTCACAAAAGGAAGCCACACTTTCACAATCTCAAGGCGTTTGGCGGTTGGCAATATTACAGTTCCATAACCAATCGCCTCTAAGACCTTTGATGCCACCTCTATAGCTCGCAACTTTACCTCAATGATTTCGACTGCTAAAATCCCTAGCTCAAGCACCTTCACTATCTTTTCAGATGCATCAAACCAACTCTCAACAAATTCCCTCATTATTTCCAACTTATTTAATATCTGACAAGCCCATGATAAATCGGTCAAATAGGATTGGAACAACTGGATATTCCTTGCCTCAGAAAGTGACTCTGTGGAATCACATAACAAAATTGCCAATGAGTTGTTAAACCTGGCAAAAAGTTTATTTACACATTCTTTCACTTCATATTTTATGTTATCGTCAGCTGTCAATAGAGGGGCATCATCATCTTCAGTTAGCATGTATTCGAGTTGCTCCTGAGCTGAAGATTTGAGATCATTCAATGATGGTGGAGGAGATGATGTAGCAAAGCGAATGGCCGAGACAAAAATGCATATAATTGCTGACTGGTTGACTGGTTGAAGTCTAGCTAGGATAGGCTCAGCCTGTAATCCCAGTCGAGGAACGATTTTTAAAATCTCATCCTCTTCAGACTCTTCCCATGCAACTGCTTCTATGTAGTTGACACAAGCAGTAATGATTTCCGGGCATCCGAGCTCAACAGCCACCTGAAGAATGCCAAGGGCATTTCTAACACCATGCCACAAGTCATCAACAGAACCATCTATGACAACATAGAGAAGGCGTATAAGATTCACATGGTAATCAAAATCTGATTCCTGGCAGAAAACATCAACACAGCTGCGTGAGTCAATGATTTGACATGTTGGCCAGTTATCGGACAGCCTGTCAGCAAAATACTTGCACTTTTCTGTAAGAATTTTTGTGTGGCAGTAAAGCCAATCATCTCGACCATCCTGTGTGCGTAACCTCACAACTACATCACTGGTGGATCGATCACCTAGCTTGCAGGTAATCTTTACATCTCTAACCTGCAGGAAAGACAGTAATATTGTTGCAGAGAAGAAGACTTGGAAACCAGATACTCTAGACAGCAAAATTTGAGATGGAAGAGATACATTGCCAATGTGGTATTTTATCCTGGAAACATTCTAATTCAAGAATTACAGCAGTAAAACAGTACGAATCAATTGAAACCTGAAAAAGCAGAGCTTTTTTAAGATGGGCCACTGATGTTTGACAATACGGTAAATGCAGATAGGAAGAAGAAAGAACTTACAGAAGACTCCATTGGAGCTAATAACAATAGCAAATTCTTCACAAATCATAGCACCTGCAGCTGTGGTAAGAGTTTGGCCGTTATGTAAGTGCCACAAAAACAACTTAGTACGAGATCTATCAAATCTTTTAATTATTATAAGGGAAAACATGCTCAGTTAACCATCAATGTCAGATGTAGCAGAATCGGAAAAGATACCAGAATCTAGTTACTTAATCAAGCAAGAACGTCAAATTGAAACCCTTGAAAGAGGACAGACTAAACACTAATTTATAAGCCTCAATGTTAGCATGAGTTCCAAATTTTTCAATGTAACAATTGGGTTCCTTGCACATATAAGTACCTCCTGTACTAATCTAACCTCTTTCACATTTTCTGTCAGTAAAGTACACTATCTTTTATTGCCTATCCCGTTCAGATAATTATTCATAAATAACAAGATCAATCGACCTCGTTCATAAAATTTCTGCTTTACAATAAGCAGTCAAGCATACGAAATTCCTTGGTTTGTGACATTAGACATCGGAGATCTAAACAGCTGTAGAAAGGCTACGCTAACAGAGTGAGGAGTAAAATAAGCAAACAAATACTCACAGGAGTCATTTAATGGATGAAAACCGAATGAATTGCAATTGGCAACAGGTTCATCTTGCTTGCATTTCATGAACCCAGAATCAATTAAGGACCCAAGAATAGAAATTGACTGAAGTTTCCACGATTGGAGGGAATGATCGATTATTTAATCTTTTGGAGATTCTACTCAAACATATCAGATATGAGGTGAAAAAATTAAAGTGGTTTAAAATGGTACATGCAGCAGTATAAGAGGATGCCTAGAGATAAAGGAGGGGTTATAAAGGAAGAAGAAGTCAGATGGGGATAGAAGGGCCCACTTTTGAATCAAATCAAAGCAGGGGAGTGATCAGCAGAACATTATTCTGCAAAATGAAACGGCGACGGACCCAAATCGATAAAACAAAGGGAGCTCCGAGCATGCCTACCTTCTCATTATCTCGAAGCCGGGAACGTAGAGCCCCTTTTGCAAGTAGCCAAGTAGCTCCGACCAGCACCATCAACGACCCCAACAACAACGAGGGTAAAGCTGTCCCTGCGTCGGGTGGATTTGCTTTATCGTTGTTTATTTCTGTTGCTGTCAATCATTGTCTCTCTGGCTCCTCAAGATCAGTCGTTAAGGTCCAATGTCTATTGCAGCATTAACCCAAAGTCGAAATGCTGATGTCTGTTTGGTTCATGGGCTTATCCGGCCCGACCCACTCAGTCCACTCCTTTTTGGGCCACCCATTCAGTCATTTCACCCCCATCAAATCTTTTTTGGGACAGAACACCCCCATCAAATCTGAACCATGCAATAAAAGAAGATTGAGTTTGGATAAATCAGGCCACCGCTGCGTAAGCAAGGACCCAAGTCAGACATTAGACTAAACAACCTGACCAGTTCTAAGGAGATCATTTTTAAGGGAAAGCCAATAACATCAATATTACCAACCGTACTATAGATTAATAATTGTTTAAATAGTGAATTTTCATCCTTACCCTCCTCTTTGATCTTCTCTCTTTTATTGAACTTCTAGATGTAGTGACATGCACTTTTTAAGAATAATTAACATGTAACAGGCAAGATACATGCTTTCTTCTAAAATGATTTCTCTTATAAGAAAAACCATTTTGAAGATACATGCTTTCTCTCCATTTTAATTTCATCCATCCTTTCGCCTTTTTTATCCTCTTCATCAATTCTAGCTAACTGTTTTCTTTCTTTTTATCAAGTCTGTTGACACTGTTAGGCTAACATTCACATACTTAAAATTTATAACTACTTGAAAAAAACATTTATCACTCACTTTTCAACAAAATTTTGCAAAACCCACCGTCAAACTAGTCTCTGAGACCCAAGCATCATCTTTTCTTTTGTTTACTTCCATTAATATCCCTTGGGATATACGAAAAAATTTTTGGAACGTCAATGATCCACGAATTGATATTTAACCATATAAAAACCAAAAATACTATCATCTTCCTAGCAACAAAACTATCAAATTTTCCAGGACCAACCGTGGTGGCTCAACAGAGCGGGGCTACCGCTCCCTGATTCTTTTATATGTTCTCTTTTTTTTTTTGGCGGGGGGTGGTTGCTGCTCTATGCTAAAAAAGGAGGAATGAAATAGTTATGTACAATACATATACATGTAAAGGTACAAATGGTTGCTAAACCACGCGCATCTCGCATCATGTGACTGGGTGCATTTGTAAGGATGAATAATGCAAGAACTCGCCGGTTCCACTCAGACATCATGCTGCCTCAACCTACAGCTGCCCCAACCTCTCCTGTATAAAGACAACAAACAAATTCAGTCTAACTGCATCACAAGGAATTATCGCCCAAATACTTTCATAACATCCACCACGTTTTAAATCGGGTCTCAGCTAGTTAGAAGCGTGCTTGAAAGTGATAGTTGCTTTGCGGCAAGATAATTAAATAACGCAATGGAAACCCTACAGGAAACACATCAATGGCTAGCCAAAATCTGAATCGGCATGTCACCAAAAAAAAAATCTGAATCGGCAGCAAAGTGAATAATTAAACCAACAGAGCTACCACTTTTAACAAAAACCATGATCTATTATCCCAAATATCTGAACACAGATACATAAGTTACGCACGCAAGAGTTAATGGCCGGCAGATTCTTACTCTTCTGAATCCGAACAAATGACTAGATTTGACCCTTATTCATTGGATGCATAAAAAGTAAAAACATTCCCCTTCCACTCTAATTAGCAGATACAAGAAATTATAACCAGAATGAGGAATAAATAAAAATAACCACCTGAAGCATCTGCATTAATTTTGGATGCTGCTCCAAAAGCTGGCAAAGTTTGTCTCGGTCTCTCAACAAAGACTGCCATGTCAGAAAGAGCAGTATAATGATGAAGACTAAAGACAGGACAATTTAATGTGATTATCATTTGCATAATAAAAATAGTGCATTAAAAAAAAAAAAAAAAAAACCTGGATTGCCTCTGGAGACTTGAAATACTCATGTAAAGACATCCCGGCATCCTGTTGCTCCAGCAATTGAGCATCCCCTGACTGCTGAAGATGTTCCGCTTGCCTCTGCTGTTGAGCTTGTGAGAACTCTTGTGGTTGGGTCTGGTAATAGGTCTGCATTGAAGAGGCCTGCGGCTGCTGCAGCATCTGCATTGGATTCACTTGCACCCCACTTTGAACACTCATACCAGGATCCAATTGTAGTAAAGCTTGAGCAGGTGGCCTAAGGTGCTGTGGAGGTTGTGGAGGGCGTGGGAGCTGGGGAGGCTGCAGGGGCTGCAACTGAGTAACAGAAGGCATTGACTGAAAGGAAGCTGGAGGAATGGAGACGCCCTGCATATTGCTTGGCTGGATTTCACTGTGTTGCTGATTTGGGGTACTGCCATAGACAGTCAACGGCATGGAAGATGGCCTACTGAACCCCAAGGAAGGCATTAATGGGTTCAGAGGGTAAGAAGACAATCTGACCCCTGATGCAGAATGACTCCCTAACCAGGCATCATTTGATGGTGCAACGGAGGCCTGGGGAACTTCAGCTGTCCCAATGCTTGTCTGACCATATACAGAAGGTTGTGTAGCAGACGCTTTACCAGTTGGCAAATTATATGGACTAGATGCAAAAGGAGGTGGTGTAGGAGGAAGTGGGGGAGGAGGCCTACTAGGTCCACCAGGAGAAGATACAGAAGTCCTGGCATACTTTGAATCTGACAAGGGAAGGGAAGATCCTGATGTCATCGCAGATGAACCACTGATAAAAGGAGATAAATATTCTGTCTGACCCTGCAAAAATAGAAGCAATATGAATGTAGTAGGTGCTGAGCAAGGAGAAAGAAATAATGGGAAGCAAAAAAGATTCTTATAACAAAAGCAGAAGCAGAGAAGAAAAATATCTATATGAAGGAGGCAAAGATCCTAACCTGAAATGGCACCGGACGTTGTGTGTCTGCTGGAGAGTTAACAAATGGGGATGAATGGCCAGGAATAGAATCAGACGCATGTGATATTACAGGTAAGGCTGTTGGTGGAGGTGGCATCGGAGGCAAAGGAGGCTGGTTTGACAAATATCTCAGGTCATACAGTCCTTGAGAACCAGTAACAATTGTAACATTACTGCCATGCTGCGGGCTGTTCTTTAAATAGAAATTTTGGGAAGCCATCCTTGAATCAACTGGCAATTGCATTGATGATGTGGATAGATTATTATAAAGTGACGCTGGAAATCCTGAACTATTTGTCACCGCTGTGGAATCATATCCACTGGATGTCTTGGTAGGAAAAACATTCCTTGAGTCATCAGACTGCTCAACATACTTCCTGTCTGATGAGACACTCGATTCACGAGTTAAGGGCATGTCAGGACGTGATACTGACATCTTTGAGGAAAATTCACTTTGGGCATTCTCATCAACATTAGACCCCAGTGGAGTACCCATATGTGACAACTGACTACTCTCAACAACATCACTTCCTGTCTCTGCAACAATTGAGTGGGGAGAACTTTGCTCCATGATAACTGGGGCAGGCTGCTGTAAATTATCATCTGGCTGAGGAAAGGGCAACTTATCATCAGGGTCAGACTCCTCACCGTCAAAAACTATATCTATTCCTTGAAGATCATCATCAAGATCGGTTTTTAATTGCTTCGATTTGTTTAACTTCTCACCATTTGTAGGATTCGCATGAGCATTTTTGAGATGTCCCACAGCCTCCCCCACTATTGTTACAGACGGATTCTGACGTTCCCTTTGTCTTGCCATAAATTCATCTACATGAATTGATGGAGGTCTACCCCCAGTAGATCCTGCTCGTGGCACTGTTATTACATTAGTGACACCTTCAACATTTCTCTCTCTCGCCACATAGTCATCCACATGCATAGATGGTGGTCTGCTGGTATTTGGCTTGCGCTGCCGGAAGGCATCCCGACGAGTAGGCCCAGAAGAAACAGTAGACTGTGTCACACCCCTTGAAAATGCATTTTGAACAGAAACTTCAGCCTGAGAACCTTCTCGAACACGCCTAGTGTTCCCATCCATTGAAGGCTGTTTCCTTTTGGCACTAACATTTGTCGGTGCCAATCTATCAGGTAATGTTTCTGGGCATTCCCAAAGAAATTTATCCCCAAGTCCACCAAGATTAAGATGATCATCAATCCTCTCGACACTGTTTTCAAGTGTCTGATGCGTCTTTGAAAAATCTAAAATATCAATTTGAGGCAAAATAACGTCATCCACCTTCCCCGAACCAACATGCCCTAGCAAGACTGAGGCCAATGATTCAACAGTTTTGGAAACCTTCAAATCAGGGATAAACAAGCAGAAGTTATAAAACAACCCACAGAAATACGACAAAGAGTGATGCAATAAAATTATACCTGAAACATATGTTTGTCAGAGGTATTCAAACGACTATCTGCTATAATTTTTGAACTGAACAAAGCAGTTAAATCTACCACGTAATTAATATTGTCTTCAGGATAGCCAGCTGATCTTGTCATATCATCAGAAAGCCCAAAAAGGTGCTTCAATATGACAACTCTGTCAGAATTTAAACTATCCAACAAACAAACTGTAAGTCCAATGTGCTCAACAATACCAAAGAAATAGCACTACAATACTTAATAAGATCCTCTAACCCATATCCTTTTTATTGTGAGAAACTAAGCAAATTAAAGATATAAAATGAAAAAAAGGTTCAAATTATATAACCAGTACGATCTGGAACCTCCAATGAAAAAACCTCATTTGAGAATGATAGGTTGATCAAATTTGTGAATGCAGAAGCCAATAATAAAACTAACCTGTCCCCATCCATGCAAAACCGCAGAGATCCCACTGACAAGGCATAGATAGCTTCAATTACAAAAGTTGATAAACCTTCTTGGGTATCAACTGATCTCAACAACTTAATCAAACAGCCAAGTAAAGGAGGGCATTTTCTCCATTCTACTTCACTATGATTGTAATAGTTGACATCGTTATCGTGGTCATGAGGTTCAAGTATAGCTCCAAAGGCAATTTGACCTTCACCACAAGAAGCTAATTCCCTGAAAGCTGTAAGGCAAGCAACTAACTCTTTTCCGACTGGGAGAACCTAGAAATAAAAAAATCCTTAATCCTTAATTATCAAAAAGGACGCAACTGATGTTCAGTGAACAGATATTCTAAGTTTGGTCCCAAGTTTCCTCAATGATAAGCCCCATTCATATGCATAAAAAAAGCATCTAGAGGCCAACAGTAACATTCAAGATAGATCTAACAGTATATATAGACAGATTCAGAAACTCACCTGACAAAATTTTAAGAGATGGCGTAAAATCCAGGCACACTCTTCAGCATTCAGTTTCTCCAAAGTTTCACTGACATACAATCAGAGTTCATTGCTCAGCTGTTAGGCCTCCCAAAAAAGATTATAATAGTAATAACAACAACAGTAACTAGGAAATACTAGCAACTCACAGATCCATCTTGGGGGAAGATTGAGGAGTTCCCGAGTGAAATATAAGCATAATAAACTTGAATACTGGTAGACACCAACTAGAGAAACTAAAGTTATACATTGCAGAATTTCTACCGTCTGGAGTTCGCTTTCTATCTACATCATTGTCACCAAAAAATCTCTCCATCACCTTTGTTAACATCTGAAAAGCATCCTCCCTCAACAATAGGCCCTGACATAAGGAAAATTGGCCATCATCGCAATATATAAACTTTGACTATTATTATTACTATGGTGATACTAAGTAACGGTGATTATCCTAAGGGACCACAATTGCACCTTGCCAAGTGGATGCTCCAATAAGCTGGCAAGAAAATCAAGGAGCCTGGAAACCTGAAAGTAAAGAGCAATCTATCATCATGGTGCCAAACTAGATAAATTACAAAATCCAACTTTTGAGCTTGAAAAGGACTTTCACCTTGTACACATCTGTATCTGACAGCGGAGATGATTCAGAAACATGATGACTAATTGATGACAATACTGGTTTTATAAGCCCAGACGCATAAACAGTATTTAAACAAGCAATACGGATTATGAGAACACGTAGCAGATCTTGAATGACCACTAATGCCTGCTCAGGAAATTAGAAAGACACAACATAACAAGAATTTAAGCCGCATCAACAAACCCATCTCCATTAGAACAAGGGGAAAAAGGTTCACTGTGTAAGCAGAAATTACATACAGAAATGGCATAATGCTGTATAATCTGGCCAATTTTATCAAGATGTGGTGCTAACTGGCAAAGCAGCTTCTCTGGGCGTCCAGATTCCAGATACCAGTTGGCATGCCTCTCCTTACGGGGCCCAAGTATGGTCCCAACAGCCAACATTCTGCGGACACTTAGCAAAGGCATTCCACTAGTCCAAAGCCATATATCTTCCGCAGGAAATAAATCACTCTTGCAAGAGAAAAGCAATAAGAGCATGAGAATTGATCAAGATATACACAGCCCAACTATCTTTCCATACACAGCTCAAATGGAAATTATAAATTTAGAGAATGGCATAAGCACTTAGAATTATTAATTGAAAAAAAAAAAAAGGCCATAACCCTCACTCCAAAGTTTTGCAGAGTCAATCAATTATGCATACCAAAAGATAAAGCAAGCTGCATGTTTCTTTTGGACCTAAAGCCAATATTGAAGTAGCCTGAACACTAGCAAGAAGGGTATTGAAAAGACCCGGACTCCAGCCATGTACAGGCCAAAAAGCAAGGGCTGACACAATGAGATGACAGACAGCTCCAAAACCAATAGCGTAATCAGGATATGGAGAGGATATGTCTGCTGCACATGCAGCCAGCTTGGGGCTGCAATCACCAGAATTTGATCAATTTAAAATGAGAGCACAATTCTTAAACTGAAAACAAACTAAAATGAAACCAAGAATATACCTTATCTCTCTGTGTAACCGTAGAAGGGCATTCACCAATTTTGTATTTCGGTGCTGCTCATTAGCTTCCTATTAATTGCAACAAAACAAAATCAATAATAGAATTCCTCAATGGCTTGGGTCGCACAATGGTCTGTAAATCAATCAGACTATCTTCAAACATATTCAGATAATAGATCATCTTATCTGTAAGGTAATAACAACCCCCACACAAAAAAAAAAAAAAAAAGAGAGAGAGAGAGAAAGAGAGAGAGAAAAACATCATTTTGTTTTAAGCATCAATCTTCTAGTCTCATTAAATATGCATCGATCAGATCCTTTCATGCCTCCTTAGGAGAAAACCATAAGCCATAAGGATGCAAACTTCAATGCCAAAGAAAAATAAAGGTCAGTACGAATTTATGGTGTATACTCATATCACCTACAGAACCCTAGAAATAAAACCTCACCAAGAACAATTGACACAGAGGCAGATTTCAACTGGAAACAACATATAAGGAGCAAATTTCCAATTTATGCTATATCCTCCCCCTCTAGATTTTACAGGTTTACATTAAAAAAAAAAAAAGAAGAAGAAGAAAAAACTACATTTCTGATCCACAGCAGTGCCCAAGAGGCCAAGACCATAGAAAAACATAACCAATTATCACAAGCAACCTAAGATTTAGTTAACCATGCACAGTAAAAGAACTAAAACTGAGTAAATGCTACAGAATAATTTGCAGTACTCTCCTAGTCATTGAAGTACATGTTCTAAATTCAAATACAAATTACTCCAACCAAGATCATCTACAACAAGAAGTACCATAGTGAGAAGAGACAGAACCTCCACAAGACAAACCTGTAATTTCTGCAAAAGCGTAGTCAGGAGAGCCAAAGAAGGGACTAGAAGATCAATTAAACTCTGCTCACGGTTACGTTCCAAAAGTAAATCTGACGTAGTATTGCATTCTGTACCCTCATCCACAAGGTAATCTGTTCAAGAAAATTGATTGCATACAGTAAATTTTAGGGGGGGAACATCGACATGTCAGATGAAACACTAAACCATAGAATATAAAAACAGCATAAAGCTAGAAGATTGGCAGGAGACTCAAAAAAATAAAATAAAAAAGAGGAGGCTGTGGGCTGCATATGATACAGAATAACAATGAAGATATATAGTGAGCTATATATTTGAGAATAAAGAAATATAAGACAACTAACAAGAAAATCATTCTTACTGATCAAAACTAAATATAGTATATCAGGGAATATCCTATTTAGTCAATACTAAGCAAATATATTTCACCAAAAAAATACTAAGTAAATACCGTCAGCAAAGAGAAAAAGTAGAAAGCAAATAATTTTTCATCCAAAAAAGGAAAATAAATTTTTTAAAAAACTATCCTCTGAAATACAGTAGATTGACTACCACTCATCGCCTTAACTAACTAACCTGAAGAGTGTCATTAAAACAATATTACGAGGGTTGGCCTGATCATAATTTCATACAGAAAGTATCACAGAGCTAGTAATCATATGAACCACTAATTATAACATAAATTTGCTCACCATAGTTGTTTGAGGACCGCTCAAGCATGAACCTGCAGTTGACTAAAACAGCATAGATAACTATTATTGCACCTTCATCATATAAAGTAGCAGCAACAGTCTGCATTGATTTCAAACTCCAATAAGACAAAGACAACAAAATTCATATTAAGAAAGAATTTTACTTGCCCTTGAAACAACTCAGAATAGAAAACTACTACGTACTGGGTTTTCAGAGATGAATGCCAAAATTCGAAATGCTGTTGTCAACTGCGCCAGAGAAGAATCTCTCAGAGCAACACCATCAAAAGACCTCTCAGATATAAACTTTCCCAGATTCTCCATGACATTAATATCAGAGCCAGCAGAAGGCTCACCAACAATATTTTCAACATCAGTCAGGTCTGACACTAGCACGCTAGTTGAAGTTAACTGCACATCTCCTCCAGAAGCCAATACAGCAGCATAACGAAGCAGACCAATACCCCCATGTTTGTGGTAAACAACACCAGCATCAATCCATTCCAGCAGCCTTGAGGGAGCATCTTTTCTATTGGACCCTGGAGAGGAGATATGCAAGGCTCTATGGAGTTCCATAGCATGTCCAATCCAAGAACCCAATGATGATGATGTGGAATCCATAACAATGACTTCAATAATCTCAGCAGCAGAGTGAAATATTGTAAGATTTGCTGGTGATGATCCTGTATGCAACAGGATAAGAGCAAGAATTTCAAACTTCCTTTAGACAAGAAATTGTCATTACTGTTAAAAGAGAGGAATAGATAACTTGAATACCACTATTTTTTCCAACAAATTCAGATCCCTTGACAGAACTTAATGCTTCAATGATGACGGAAACAGCCTGCAAGAGAAGAATCATATTACAAAATTAAGATCTTTAAATATAATAAAACTTCACGTGTTACAATATAAACACATCACGAACAAATATCAACTCTAGTCGTGTAACAACAAAACTTCCATTCATAGTATTGGAAGCTATATTCAGCTACTGAGAGAAAAAATACTAATATAATCCAGAAATCAAAACTTAAAAGCTTAGGTTGTTTTGATGGAAAATGGGTTCCAGGAAGTTGCCAACTAGGCATAATATGATTCCAACAGCAAAATGTTGGGCATACCTCAGGAAAATGTGCCAAAGCAAACAAAGCTTGGCGTCCACAATTAGACCTGCAAATTGTCAGCAGATTTGGTTTAAAACTCCAACTATTGGCATGTATAATATTCAAATCAGAGGTAATGTCCAGTTGTCCACCTAGAGAGGCTACAAAGCTCCCACAGAACCCATAAAAACTCTTCTGAGTGTGGATTTGATGAGACCAAGCGATCAATTGCATTAACCTAGGCCACGAATAAGAATAACCACAATTAGATGGGGAGAATACAGGAAAAGAGGGAGTGGGGAGCGAACTGAAGAGTGATAAATTTCTGAAGTGAAACTAACCATCCTTAAATGCATCCCAATTATCAGCCCTATCTCAAGTGGACTACATGGGAAACCTTTTGATAACAAGACAGATGCATATCGAAGAGGAATACAATCTTCTCTGTTTACAACATGAGCACCCTTGAGGGCATGGATTAAGATCGTTGAAAGTTCTGGATCCTGTAGCAGGAATATCAAGCCTAGAAAGAAGAACAAGATGATATAAACAATTGATTACATCATTAGCTTCTTACTAGTAAAAGGTCTAACTAATAGCACGTGTGTGTGTATAAACAGATATGCACATGTATTTTGTCTTAAAACTAACTGGAACCCACCTGAACGACAAAAAAGAAATGAAAGAATCACAGCTTCAATTGATGATGCAATATCCATGAATATTTCTGCAGCACATCCTCCCTCCATACGCAAAACAGATGATGACAACAGTGCAGCTGATAAGGACAGAAATCCCCGCTCCTGTCTCCATTGTAGTGTGTAAAATTATGTGCACACACACACACGTGTGTCAAAAAACCATATAACAAGAAAAGTTGTATGACAGAAATTAATTCCAGCATTCAAGTACACTAAAAAACAGCGAAGAATTGTATGGGCATAGAATTGTCCACATTCACGCCGTAGGGTTACATATGACAGATAATACAAAGAAAAAAAAGTATAAAAACTCAAGAAAAGCTGCATCCTAAATCCAAAGAGCGGGAACAATTTCATAGTACTCAAAATGGATTTTCCTGACTAAAAAATATACCTTCAACAGTCCCAGCAAATGTGAGTCAATATCCCAATCTGAAAAGCAACAACTTGAAGAACTAATTAGGCCAGAAGTTGCTTTATATGACAACAATCCATCTGTTGCACCCATAATTAATGATCTATTTCCACAAGCCATGGGAGAAGGATCTTCAATCGGACCACTTGAATTTATCAATTTCTGCATTAGTACTTGTCAACTAACATTAACACAGAATTTTCTATGGAAATTCTAGCGTAAAACAAATAACATCATCTAAGTTAAAAATTAAAGAGGATAAGGATAAAAAAATGGCAGGCTTCTACTATAACAGAAGTCAGTGAATTAATTAAGACTGACCAGGAGCTTTTTGAGTTGAATTTCTGCAGTAGTGAGCTTGTTCAAGGTAGCATTTGTAACCTTTCCAACTGTACTGAGGCTTTCCAACACAGACAGAACTGCAGACTGGCAAAGATCATATTACCACAAGATAAAGACAAAGTCCAGGAATGCAAGGTAGCGTTTATATCAGCCACACTAGTGAAAGAAATACCTCATATCTTAAAGCAACTTCATAAAACCGCAGACGATGGAGCAAATAGGCCGCAAGAGAAGCGACATCATGACGAGGCTTTGCCAATATCAGCTTCAACAATTGGATATAACCTTCACTTGTACCAGAGGGGATATTTTCCTCTTCACGTGGCCACCAACCTAAAAGGCCTTCACACCCAACTGAATACCTGGTAGCCTGCTCCACAACACCAAGAAGCAAAAGCATAGTAGTCGTTGAATTTTGCACGTCCTCGGAAAAATATGTCACAATCTGCTGCATTCCCCCGCCATTAACAAAATGAAAACAGCTCTCCCTACCAGAACACAATAGAAGAGCCATGCTCAACCCTAGAACGACATTTTCAATCTGCACACGAGTATATAAGAAAAGGCAAGAAAATGAGAGAAGTTGAAAGTGCATGTCTTTGATTCTAACTCTATCAATGAATTAGGAATGGCAAGAATAAATAACTGATCACCTGAAAATGGCAGCAATCTACTACATGTTTAGATCCCCTAGTAAAATGAAAGAATCGATTAAACAAATCTTTGGAGTCCAACATCTCAGCCTCTGATTCAAAATAACCACCCCCTGATGACCATTCAGAAGACGCACTGCCTGATTTGTTCTGAAGGACTTTATAAACTTCAAGAAGCTCTTTTCTAGCTTTGGTAATAAGATTATGCAACTCCTTGAACTTCTCAGATCTCTCTGACGTCAGATACCTTCCTCTAATTGAATTGCATATTTCAGTGGAAACATAAGAAGAGATTGCCGATACTACTGTACTTACAACTTTATGTCCAGCGTCCCCAAGCTCTGGAAACTCCAGAATCTTCAACAATATCTGTATAAACAGCTTGAATTCATCAGAAATATCCGTTGCAGGGACTGGAATAGACAATACATTTAAAGAGGAGATTGAATCCTCAATTGCTGAATTTGCAGAATTTAACGCCAGAGGCAGGTCTTCAAGCCTCCCTTCGGAAGAATCAACAAGATCAGTCAACGCACTGTCATCAAATTCAATGTTAAACTGTCCCAGATCCTCCGCTGTGTTGCCATAAACAACCAAGCTCAAACTCCGATAGCTTCCCCTTACAACTAGATGACTAGTCACAACAGCCTGGTCAAGAGAACAATCAGTGCATCAACAATTAAGCTGAGTAGAGTACCCAAAGAATAGCAAGAACAAGTCAAGGATGCAATTAATCCGCCAATGATTAATTGCAACGTAAATATTTATTTCATGCATAACTCAAATGATATGGTTATAATTTTTTCTGTTTTTCCATTGTTTTGAGAAAAAGTTAGTCTTATTACCCCATACTCTTGAATTATATCTTTATCAAGGGAAAATTGTTTAATGGGAAGAACTATGTATTGCAGGCAATAAATCTGAAAGATATTACCATTGTGATAGTTCTTCACAAATTGAATAAAAAAGCTAGTGGAATCGAAAATGCGGGTAAATAAAAAAAATTCAATTGAGTTTGGCTACTACTGCCAGAGCATACAGCAAAGTAAAATGCAGTATACCTCTACTTCTAGTACATTTGATGAAGAGTGAGAGTATAGAAAAGGCTGACAGAGTCTCCTAAACCTCGTCTCTCCTTCACAATGAACAAATGCCTCTAAAGCAAATGATGGAGGAGAAGTAGCTCTGAAAAGTACAAGAGGTTAGGAAAATAGATTACAAAATCGTCAACAGAAACATCCTAAAAGATTGTAGGTGACCACTAAATAATTTTGTTCAAAGACAAGAATGAAAATTCAGAAAAAATACATACAAGAAACAAAAACCCCATACCCTACAAGAGTTACTGATTGGGCGACCGATGATGCATTCTGTTCCAAGAATTCACAGGCAGTGATTACAACGGGTTCTGAGAAAATCACCTGCAAGAAGATTTTTTGGAGGGAAGGGAAGGCGTCACCATAGCAGCCAACTAAAAATCTAGCAAAACCAACTGATGATACAGCCCAAGACTACTAAAAGATGAATTGAAGGTCATTATTCATAAACTTCAACCCACAGAACTGTGGCGGGATAACAGAAAATTAGTAGCAGCTACCCCAACCAGAATTCGAAACTGTACTTGGCATTACAATCGATTGGCGCTTCAGCAGGGAAAGAAGGCTCAAGATAATTTTGAAATGTAAGCACTAGTCAATGCGAAGTTACCTCGTCTACATACTCGTCCAGGTGGGGGTGAACGAAAGTCTGGGCAAAGAGGACGCACGGTTCAGGTCGACCCATGTGGAACTCTCAATCTTTGAAATTCCTCCACACGGAACATGCACTTCAATCTCCTGTGTTTCCGGGTCTAGGGTTTATGGCGCCACGATTTGGAGCGCTACTGGAGATTTATGAATTATGGCTAGCTTTCAGCCTCGCCGCCGATTTCCGAGTAGTATTGTGTCCTTTCGGTTAACAAAAGGCAGGGAAAATTAAGTCTGTGACGGTGTTTCTCTTTTTCATTGCCCCTCAAGCCTGTGACTATTGTTTTTTGGGAAAATTGAGGAGAAGGATCTAAAAAAATTAGTATTTATGGAGGGGGATCTTAAAAATTGATATTAATTTCAAGGACCAAAAATTAAAATATGAATTTATAATTACGAAATTATCCCTGGCCAAATCCTTACATTATCTTCAAGACCCATCTCAATATTTGACTATCAGTTATCAATTGAAATATAAATTTGTAATTACTAAATTGCCCTCCATTAAAATTAAAAACTAAATACAGTAATTAACAAAAAATAGAGTCCTATTTTTTCAGTCATTCATATCTACATCTATTAGCCTTTCATTCCAATATGGCCAGAAAAATTTCCAACTTGCGCAACTACGATTTTGCCCCTCATTCCGATGTGGTTGGAAAAATTATTAGTGAAACTTAGGTTACGAAGAGGTACTATTTACTTGATTTTCATATTTTGGTTAACACAAAGAACTATATTTATATTCATCTAAGAAGCTTTGTATAGGTAGTGTGATTGTGTTCATATGTATGTATAGTTAGGATTAAATGAAGGTACAAATATATACTTTTATATTCATCCAAAGAGTCTTTATATAGAGGCCATGAGAAAATTAGAAAATATTCGGTACAAATAAAATAAAGGAGGGAAAATAATATTCAGAATACACATACCATCCAATAAATAGTCTGCTAGTTGATTCCTTTTAATTTGTCTTTTTTGTTTTGGATTTACAAGAAGACAATTGTTATTGGTAAAAACTTTGGGTACATCAAAAAGAGATGCACAGAGAGAGAGATCAAGTTCAATTGATAATTAATCGTCAAATTGAGATAAGAGGGTACTGGAGATAATGTAGGGATTTGATAAGAGATAATTTGGTAATTGTAAAATTTTATTTTAATTTTTTGTCTTTCAAATTAATTACAATTTTTAAGATCCCTCTTAATAAATACTAATTTTTTTAGGTCCTTCTCCCTAATTTTCCCTTGTTTTTTACCCTCCGATAGGCTCCCAATCCTGTGACCATGCATGCGCGTGATTGTGTTTGCAGGTTGTAGGAAAAGTAATAAACAAAAGGTGAAGATGGGTGAAAAAATGTTTATAAAATGGGGCAAAAAATGCTTATAAAAATTTTAAAATGACTGAAAAATATCACAACAATGTATCTAAATAAATATCCATTAGTCTCGCGTTCTAAAATTTAATGAGTGTTTACTTAAATTAAAAGCTATGAAGCGAACGTTATGTAGTGTCAAAATACTTTATAAGCAGATTTCCGTCTTTACCCATAAATAAATACTAACTAATAAAAGACACGTGCCGTGTGTTGGATCAAAAGGTATTTTTATGGTGGAATTATTTTGTAAAATTACTGTTATTTGAATTAAATTTCAAGAAAAGTTAAAGCATCAGCTTACAAAATTACAAGATATGAAAACTTTCAGGATTACAGAACATTATTATTAAAAAAGAAATTCTCTATCTTAAGACTTTCAACAAGCAAGATGTAGGCTTCTGCTCCACAGTTTATAAAATGGGTGAATAAGAGGGGGCCTCGTGAGATGTAGAATAAATTATATCATCAGAGAAAAATTAATCCCATTTTTAAAATAAAAAAGCGTCTAAATATGTTATTCATCGCTGCTATAAAAACTTTAATCAGTTACTATGATCATATGATTCATTTGTCAAACCAATCCCAGTGCATTAAACCGAGTGGTTATTTTTCGTCAGTGTGCGCGTAAACTAAAAACACTGTTACACGGTTGGGGGGCAAAAAACATTATCACAGATTCACAGTGGAGGGAATCCTGGGGGCGACATTAAATGAGCGCATTTTGAAAGCAATTCTAGCGCATGGCATGACAGAATAAGACATTTTATTACATTCGTTCATGTTTGGCTGTTCCTTGAGTTTCAACTCTGAGGGCATCTACCCAGAGACTGAACTGATTTACAATTGAGTTGTACTTTTTTCTGGCTAAGTAAAAAAGTGTTTGGCAATATGATGAAACCATAGTTTGGATCTCAAATTTGTCAAACAGGAAAAAAAATAAACAAACCGTGGTTTCAGGTCAAAACCATAGTTTCAGGAACAGTGAATCCATTCTGCTTATGGCTTAAATTAGAGAGTATGATTATATCTGTCAGAATAGATCTCAACTATAATATAACTTTTAACACCCATTAATTATTTTTTTATAAACATATTTAATCTCATATTTTATAAATATATACACATATTAATTAATTATTAATTATATTATCTTATGTATTATTAATTATGTTGGTAAAAAATATATTATTAAAAATTTTATTCCTTCAAATTAAAATATATCATAAAATTTATCTTTTATGTAATTATCATATTAACTTATGTCCTTTTTACTAATTTGTACATATAAAAAGTGTTTCTGATAACAATTATCCAAACACTCTCACTTTTCAGAATCACTTTTTCACAAAATCTATCCTTCTAAAAATCTATTTTCTGGAAGTTATTCTCCAAACCATGATTTGGTTTCATTTAAACACCCTCTAAATAAGAGTGAGCAAGCAACCCACTAGCCGTATTCCCCCCCCCCCCCCTCCTTAAACCAGCCCATTAAGAGTCCGAAATGGACATACTCAAGTGGGTTAGGTTGGTGTGCTGTGTGGACCGGTAGTAAGCAAAGGCACGGACTACCTGTACTTCGCCCATTTACATATGTTTTTTTTTTTTTAATTTATTTCGCGCGGTATCTAGTTCATGATCATGACATTGTTAGTGTAGCAAAGGATAGGATGAAAGTGCAGGCAGACTACTCTCCTTCAATCAGTCCGAGTTAGCAACCAATATTTTTTGCCCTTTTTTGACAATAATTTCGTAAAAAATATGCTTGGGGTTATGCCTGATGAGCAATCCAAAACACTTCTGCAAATTGAGCGGAACACCATTTCATCTTTATTTGTTGGTCTGGGTGGACCGGTGACCAAGCTTCATGAATTCCTATTTGGTTTCCAATTTAGAATCTTTTAATAATGTTTAAGGTTTTTTCTATTTTTGTTTTGGTGCAGCTGTGGGTTCTTATGAGTTAAACATATGATAATTCTTATGGTAGATATAATTTAATTCTTATTAGAGACACATTAGGAATTAATTAGGTGATTTCAAGTTAAAATTATTTCAAAAGTTCATAAATGCATGTTCATTACATAATTCAAAAATTCATCTAAAAATTCATCATGTTACGTTTGTGCGGAAAACACTGGCTCAAATTGATCAAGAGGTAGAATTTCATGATGGAAAACTTTACGTGTACGTATTGCCTGAGCATTTCCCTTGTTATTTTCCCGTTCAGTATGATTATAAGAATACCTAGATTATTTGCTAGTTTTTGCTTATTGTAATGTTGTTCGGCAGAAAAAAAAAGGGGGGCTTCAATTAAACAAGCTATGAGAAACCGCCAATTTAAGGACTGTTTGTTTATATCAGGATTAAATAGGCTCTATACGGGTACAGGATAGCCCGCACCCATTTGATCTTAAATGGGTGGGTTGCGGATGCACTCTTGGGTGGCCCAGCCTCCTCATTACATTACCCTGTAAGTAAATGTGTATTTTTGTTGAAAACAATCATAATACGGCACTAAATGTGGGACTCTTTAAAAAACTATAGAAGAAAACACCCACAGACGCTGAAGAACTAAAGGAAACAATACAGAGACAAACGGAACAGCTACAACCATAACAACAAAAGTCTGGAAAAATAAAGCCTCATATACGATAAATCAGCCAATTCCCCTCCTCGCCGCAGCACAAATATCAAGCCTATTATTCTCAATCCTTCTCCTTTAGCCACTTTCGGCGAACCTGACTGCATATTTCTAAAGCCTAACATATCAGCCATCAAAATTTCATCCAAGAGAGGTGGTGTTGTTGTTAGCCACCCATTGGACATCAACTCTGCCAAATGATTTGTAGCTCGATTACCTTGGCCTTCGTACAAAGAAAAAACTAAATCTGATATTTCCACAATCATTGCACTGGCTGGTAAACAAAAAGTACTATACTGCATTTAAATAGACTTTCATATTTAAATTAAATTATGAAGCACTATAACTAAATCTTGTCATAGTACCGTGACTGTGAAATGTATTGCGTCGGCTTTATTTATGATGAAATATATAACTATAACTCTTTACTTGAAAAAAACGTGCCCTGCTTTTCAATCCAAACTTGTCCGTACAGAGTCATGAGCCTTTCGTCACGTATCCTAACTTCATTGCTCTTCTAAAGCGTAGTTGAAAAGGCACAGAGCTTGATAGACTTTCAGGTTGGTTGGCTGTAATTTATTTTAATCGCAATTTGTCATGCCACTTTCCCTCATCGTCGGTGCAGAACCGCCTTTTGAATTCAAGGGGGCTAAATGCTTAACAGAACAATAACAGCATTTAACTAGTAACGCTTGAAAGTACATGATGAGGCACCAAAGTTTAGCCTCTGGTCTTTCCCTCTTTTATATCATTAAAATTATACATAAGAAATTCTATATCAAGCTCTTCGATAACTCTCTTCTCAATACACAAACCTTTTTTTTGAAGAACATGATATATTATTAATTCTCTTCTCAATATAGACACGTATTTAAGAAAAAATATATATACGTGATTATAATAGTCAAACTCTACCCACAATGCAACTTACACTAGAACTCTATCAAGCGGGTTTTAGCCCGAAAACACCTGGGAGCAGAAGATGAGGACTTGCCTAAGATAAGAAAGAAGGTCGGGTCATCATAGGCCTGTATCAAACGCCGCCTCTCCTTGATTAGAAGTTTATTTTGTATTGTCATTACTTACGCGCTCTGATTTTGACATTGCCTTGTCGCCTTTTATTTTTAACGATCCTTTGAACCATTTATTAATTTATTAACATGTCTCGTGGGGCTGTGGGCTGTGGGCTGTGGGCTGTCAAAAGATTTCCACCTCGCGAGGTATTCCCCTGATAAAAAATATTTGAAGACGGAATCCCGCGTTACCTTTTAAGCTATTGAGCGTAATTTATGCAGAAATAGAAAGGAAGAAAAAAGGAAGTCATAAAGAATCACTTGTTAAGCAAATATTGTATTTTATTACTTTAAAAAATGATACAATGACAATCATGAGATGGTAACATAAACTCATTTACCGGGTAAACTGTTTTTTTTTCCCCCGAATACATCAAATGATATCTGCACTAATTGTGACTCGCGTGAAGCGCAATGAACGAGGAGTACAAAATTTAGAAAGTAGACGATGCAATGGAAAAAACTAAATTGCCACACGCGTTAATGAGTCAAATAGCAATGTTCTTCTCCTCGCCATTGATCTGCATATGGGGATTAGGATGCACGGCCATCCATATATCAGCATTAAATCTGCATATGGGGATTAGGATGAACACTGCCAAATGAAAAAGATTGCGTGGAAGACGTTTTAGGCAGATTATCCTTCATTTGAGAGCCGGCTTAGCTCAAATTCAGTTTCGTCGAATTCTAGTAGTAGTATTTTTTTTTCCAAAAATCCAGATGATCTGTGAAAAAACAAGAAGAAGATTATAGTGTAGTTTTGTCACTAGAATTGATTTAAAAGCAACTAATCGAATCACTTAACTTGAAAGTATCCCTCTCCTGCAAAATTTAAATCAGACTTTTGGGCTGGCTTGAAGTAACAACCGGCGTTATCCGAGTGAGATGGACTGGCGACTGGAAACGGGCACAGGCAGTAACAAAGTGGATAAATTATCGTCCACGCGTATTTCCTCGCTGGACCAAGTCCCAGCCTCTTTACCTACTCGCGGTCTCTTTTGAATGGTATGGCAACTTGGAACTGCAGGTAGACTTTTCCTATTTTCTTCGCGCCTCCGGCCTTGTTGTCCACGTCGGCCTCTAAGTGTTCTCCTGCCCTTAACCCCATTTGACCTGCCGATCAATCCCTCCCTACCCTCTCCCTCTCTGAAAAATCCCAATCCTGCTGCTTTAATCTCCCAACTACACAATTCCTGTCTTCCTCCTATCTCTCTGATTGCATTTGGTTTTCTTTGAAATTCTTTAATTCAATTTGTCTGTTCTGTTGGAATGAATGACTTGTTCTCCGGCTCCTTCTCTCGCCTCCGCCACGAGCAGGCATCGCCGGATCATCATGTCATCGAGATGGCGTCCACGACGCCCACCGGCGGTGTCAACCTTGACAAGTTCTTCGATAACGTGGAGTCGATCAAGGACGAACTCAAGGAGCTGGATCGCCTCAACCGGAACCTCCAGAGCTCTCACGAGCAGAGCAAGACCCTCCACAACGCAAAGGCCGTCAAGGACCTCCGTTCTCGCATGGACGGCGATGTTGCGCTTGCTCTCAAGAAGGCGAAGCTCATCAAGGTCAAGCTGGAGGCTCTGGATCGATCCAACGCGGCCAACCGTAGCTTGCCGGGTTGCGGGCCAGGATCCTCGTCGGACCGCACCCGCACCTCGGTGGTCAACGGGTTGAAAAAGAAGCTGAAGGACTCCATGGAGAGCTTCAATAGCCTTAGGCAGCAGATCTCATCGGAATACCGCGAGACTGTACAACGCAGGTATTTCACGGTCACCGGCGAGAACCCTGATGAGAAGACCGTCGACCTCTTGATCTCTACAGGTAACGATAGCAATACTCCATCCTCCTCCCCGGCCAAAAAAAATTAAACTATCCATGTCATAATTAGAGAAGGATGCGCTGGCCTCTCAGTCTGGAGAACTTAGATTACTACAATGATATTCGATCAAAATGAATGCTCGATATTCAATTTGCAAATTGTTATTGAACACGGCAAAAAATGTGATTTGGAAAAAGACAGTTAACATGTAATTTTTCTGTATGACATGAAGCTGTCTCGAAACACATTCATCTGTTTAGTTGCTGACGAACCAATTCACAGACATTCCTATAAATCAGTAGGAAATTTATGAATATGCAACTTGGCCCCACGAATTACAGTGTTGGATGCAACGCGTTACTGGTAAAAGATAGCCATTGGGCTAGAGAATATTACATCTGGAGTTGTTTGTTTTTTCGGTAGAGATTAGTTAAAATGAAAAAGTTATGCAGGCAGATTCTTTTACATGAGACTGGGTCATCCTAATATAGTAACGTGCCTCAGTGCGAATCTGAATGATTTTGTAATCAGCGAGTGGAACATGAATGCAGGTGAGAGCGAGACGTTCCTTCAGAAGGCCATCCAAGAACAGGGCAGAGGCAGGATTCTGGATACTATCAATGAGATTCAAGAGAGGCATGATGCTGTGAAAGAGATAGAGAAGAATCTGAAGGAGTTGCATCAAGTGTTCCTTGACATGGCAGTGCTGGTGGAATCTCAAGGGGAGCAATTGAATGACATAGAAAGCCACGTGGCGAGAGCTCAGTCGTTTGTGAGGGGCGGAGCTGAGCAGTTGCAGACTGCAAGGAAGCACCAGAAAAACACCAGGAAATGGACCTGTTATGCTATCACGATTCTCCTAGTAATCATCTTGTTTGTGGTTCTCTTCACTGTTAGACCATGGGAACATAACAAAGGCGGCGGCGGCAATCAGCAAGCTTCACCCCAAACACCTCCTCCGCCCCCCGCTACGCCTGCTGGAAGATGACTGTTGGATGATGATTCTATACATGTATACATACACATATGCATCTATAGTCTGAGGAGGGTAACGGTACCTGGTGCAGTTGAAATTGACTGTCCCATATTTTGACTGGGGCCAATTGCAATCTCTTACGATGAGCAGATAATCTTATCTGGTGGATCAGGTGCATCCTTGATTATCGTTGGTCTATGTGTATTCTTTGTGGAATTCTAAACTTTCCTTATTTATTCTTCTTGCTTTTGTTTGATCTTGTGCATCATTTCTCTTTTATCCAATGCAAGAAAAAGGGAGATCGAATCTCCATTTGATGGACCTGGTGAGAGTCAGAGGGCAGATCCAATTTAGCCAATCTTAAGAGTTAGTGGGAGCCCAAGAACTACGAGAGAGTGTGTGTGTTTTATTGCGTCACACAAATATCTTTATACTGAGAGTCATGTTTAAAACAACGTGAGATATTAAATGTGAACATTTTTTTTAACAGAAATTTAAATATTAGTTTATCATACTATGAGAGACTAATCACATCTTCTAGAACCAACTCTGGATAACAACTATGAGTATATGTTCAAATTTACGGTCTTCATAGCTTCCTCTTGCAGCTTTAAGCCTGATATAAGGATTTGCATTAAAAAAACCAAAACCTCATATAGAGATTTTTTGGGGTTTGATAGAGGAGGAATGACTTTTGAGGGGGAAAAATGTTAAATTAGTCTAATATTAAAGTTTAAAGATTTCAAAATATAGACTAAATAATATTTCGATTATTTCATATTTGATACTTGTATCTTTTTAATTTGCAATTTTGTAACTACGTGTTTTTTTATTTACGGAAAAGAATGTAATTTGTTAAAGATACGGTGACTTTGGGTTTGATATCTATGTTTTCTTATATATATGTATGTTACTTGATTTATAACTTGATAGCCATTAATCTTCAAATGAGATTTGTTTTCTTGCTATAAATGCGTACTACTACCTTCAGTCCCTGATATAAGACATTGTTTAACTTTTATTTTGATCCTAAATATAATATTTGAATCTATTTTGTCTATTATATTTGTGTATTTTTTTTTTCAAAATAATCTTTCTAACAATAGTAGTTCTACCTAACATACTTAATTAATAAGGATCTTTTAAGAAATATAACACATATTTATTATAAATAACTAACTTAACTTTTTTCTTTAATCCCTTCAAATTAGTCAACTAATTCTTATAATTAGGACTAAAAGTAGTAGTAAATTCACTATTTGGACCGAGTCATTAAAAAGAAAAAGAAAACTAAAGAAGAATTTGGTTGTTATATTAGATTTCTAATTTTTTATCCTTAAACGTCATTTTCCTTTGATAAACGATAGATTGGCTCAAGTTACTGTATGCAACCGTTTTGTTAGGGTCACAGGAATGTATTCTTTATTTGGTGTCTTGATTAAAATGTGACATTTTAAATAAAAGAAATCTGTCAACTTTATTTTTTTCCCGCGGGAAAATAAATGGATGACCACAAAATGTTGTATTTTTCATATTATATGAAGCAGTACGTCAGAATTTAGATGCCAGTACTCGGTAGAGTTCAGATGATGCATGCTGCATCTGCATTCTACAGAGCGAGCCTTGCCTACGGGATATTAGTGTAATTAAGATTGTGAATATTTTTTGATGTACGTATTTTTTTTTTTTCCCCAAAGACTGCTGGGGATAGAATAACCGTCCCAAAAAGGATGAGGGCAGGAGAGTAAAACTGTAAAAACGTGGTTGAATTAATTTTTTTTAAAATTAATTTTAAAGAGCCTGATATAACTATGTAAATGGAGTATTGTTTCAAAAATGCATGAAAATACTTTTAAAATTGTTTTTTAAGGTCTGGAAACATCCCCGAAAAATCCTTGGCCTATTATGAGAGTGACGTCAACAATATGGTATTGGTCTTGGTCCGTGTATTTGTCTGCCTCCCCATGGCCATGGAACGATATCTGCTCTTGTTTGGCCTCTGGTTTAATTTCAGTTATGACTTTATTGTCAGTTATAATTAACCAAAGAGCTTTTCAAGATTCACAAAATGTCCACGCGCTTCCTTGTCTTTGTATGAAAACCAAATAATACCCTCTGACTGGTTAATCTTTTGAACTTTCAGCGCCCTTTCTCTTCTTCCTGTCACATTACTTTCTCTTCTCCGTGTCTCAGCTTTATGTGCGCGGTATTTTATTTCTTCATCCCTAAGACAGGCCTCTGTTTATGTGAAACATTGGAAAAAAGTGGTTTTGTAGCTACAGGGTTTGGCCAGGAAACATGGTTTAGGAGAGCCAAGTAGCAGACCGGGGTCGGTCACAATTTGAGCATGTCTTAAGAGTTAATGCAACCGCATATCAGTGATAACGCCTACGATTTATTTATAAAATCGTCCCACACTAGATTAAACGATCTCAGATGTTTTATAAAATCCCTTTCACTTTGCGTTTTCTTATTGTTCGATTTACATCCAAAAGATGACATGAAAGACTTCACTCTTCTATCTTCAAACCCCCCCCCCCCAAAAACCAATTACAAAGACTTCGCAACGTCTAATAATACACTACCTTTAATTTTTAATATAAAAATTAGAACTAGTTTAATTTTTAATTTAATTTTAAATATAAAACCTCAGTTTATTTTGTGTCTCGTTTATTTTTTTTTAAAGATAGTCCTTATAATAGTTACGTATGTTAAAAATTTTATCAAATTATATTTGATTGACAAGAATATTTTAAAAAAAACAATACCTATTCATTACAAATAACTAATCCAACTAATTTTTTTATCTATTTAAATTAGTCAATTAATTTTTATATATTAAGGACAAAATGTAGCACTATCATTCTGTTTTTCATTAGACTCCTCATTAGAACAGTACGCTGCCTCTCCCGTTCAATTACGACAGCTCCACCCCGTCACATTAATAATACTCCTACATTCAATTAAAATTTCTGTGACTCTGTAAACATGTTATTTTATTCTTCTGCAAAAAAGCGAGAGGACTGTTAATATTTTTCAAAGAAACTAAAATAATAAATTAAATGAAGCATCCTGGAAGCGAAGTTTATATATTTGTGGAGAGAAAAAACAATGAAATGGCTGAATTTGCGATGGGCCAAACCCTTTGACCTGCTATGCATTACTTCTTCTACGGCCCCTAACTGATACAACCATTTGACCAGTCTCTTCAGAAGACCTTTGAATTTGGTTATATTGTGATTCATTCAGATAGATCATCCCATATCCTGCTGTATTTTCATTCCAAAATCCTTCCTTTTCTGTGGCCTCCAAGATGAACGACTTGCTCAGCTCCTCCTTTTCCCCCTCCGCCGAGGACAACCACCACCATGTCATCCAGATGACGGAGCTGACTGACGGTGCCAACCTCGACAAGTTCTTCGAGGAAGTGGATTCCCTCAAGAAGGAGCTCAACGAGCTGGAGCGCCTCAACCAATCCCTCCGAAGCTCCCATGAACAGAGCAAGACTCTTCACAACGCTAAGGCCGTCAAGGACCTCCGCTCTCGCATGGACTCTGACGTCACCCTCGCCCTCAAGAAAGCCAAGCTCGTCAAGCTCCGCCTCGAGGCACTCGACCGCTCCAACGAACAGAACCGCAGCTTGCCCGGCTGTGGACCCGGCTCCTCTTCCGACCGGACTCGAACTTCAGTGGTCAACGGCCTGAGAAAGAAGCTCAAAGACTCCATGGAGAGCTTCAACAACCTCAGGCAACAAATTTCCACCGAGTACAGAGACACCGTACGGCGTAGGTACTACACGGTCACCGGCGAGAATCCCGACGACAAAACCGTCGACCTCCTTGTCTCTACCGGTCAGTATATATGTATATATATTCCGCTACTGTTATGTTGAAAGTTCAACTATAATATCAAAGACAATATCTAACGAGCAGAAGTCAACGACGACCCAACAAGATTTTTGTGATCAAGAAATATTCTTTCTTAATGATTTTAACCAGTTTCATGTCAAGAAAGATAAAATTTTCTGATAAGTATTCATGAAAAGGTGTGTGTATTTTTGAGGAAGGACATGTATGAAAATGAGATACTGATACGAAATACGGTGGAGCAGGGGAGAGTGAAAATTTCCTGCAGAAAGCGATTCAACAGCAAGGGAGAGCGAGCGTGTTGGACACGATCCATGAGATTCAAGAGAGGCACGACGCGGTGAAAGAGATAGAGAGGAATCTGAATGAGCTGCACCAGGTGTTCTTGGACATGGCAGTGCTGGTCCAGGCGCAGGGGGAGCAGTTGGATGATATAGAGAGCCACGTGGCAAGAGCCGATTCGTATGTGAGAGGAGGGGCGCAGCAGTTGCATGTTGCGAGGAAGCACCAGAAGAACACGCGGAAATGGACTTGCATAGCCATCATACTGCTCATCATTATTATATTGATTATAGTTCTCCCCATTGTGTTGAGAAAATGAGATTTCACATACAATATGGTTTGATGTTCCTGGCGGCTACGAATCAGTCAACTCACGCCTCCTTCCCCTTCTTCACCCTTGCATTACAAAACTACCTTTTTTGTCTCTGTATTCATTATGTCAATTTTTTGGTCGTGTGTTGCTATATAGATTAGCCATTTATTCTTATTAATACTACCTATGTGTTTGAAGACCCGCCAGGGGATTGGTTTCTAGAATCTGATGGGGTTTTTATCTCTCTCTGTACTCACGTGCTTGATTATATCTCAGATTGTTTTTGGTGGTAGCATCTGTACAAAAATTTTTGTGCCTTCTCTCTATGTGTTTATATTTGTTCCCATTCCAGTAACTTGTCGTAGAATCTTGCCTCAATTCATCTGTTCTTCAACCAGATATGCATAACCCATGTCAGTCATGCTGTTTAAGCCCAAGCTTCTGCGTATCAGCATCGTTTTCTTTTATTTTCTTTCTAATTCTTTTTTATTATGACACGTGTTATCTTCAAACTTTTGCTAGCTATTCCTTTATTTTCCCAGGGATCTCAAAAGCAGAACCGCTTACAATGGAATTTGACCACGATTTGACTACTATATTTGCCAGTAATTTCTAACAATCATAAACAAATGGAATTAGATTGGCGGTAAGACTTGGCGGCCGCCATAACTAAACAGAAGTCTTCATGAGTTTGGGGTGTGCTCATGGCCATTTTAGACCTACCATTATCAAACATGAGTAAGCTTTTAATCGAAACACACCACCACACAATCGAATCACCCAAGGGCTAAGAAAAATAACAAACGACACTCGCGAAGCTATAAATACGAGTAAAGCCCAGAAAAGGGATCATCAAAAGCCGAAGTCTTATTATGATACATTGATCTAAAGTCACAAGTTCGGGAATAAAACACGCCTAGACATAATTTAAAAAAGCGCACACAGTCAACTAGAGGATCAAGTTCTTATTACACACTACGGTCAACTGGAACAGGATCAGGTCATGGACATGCCTAACCACGCCAAGACAGGTCTGTTCAGAAAGACCGAGACAGTACTACAGTACATATAATTGATGAGCCAAAGATGGCTCACCTAATTAGCCAAGGATGGTTTACCTTAATTAGCCAAGGATGGGTTGCCCTAGCCAGGGATGATTTGCCTTCAGACCAGATGGTAGACCCAGCCTCCACAACGAAGCCTATCGCAGTATCTAGTCACGGCACTTGTTTCCCTGGCCTTCTGGCTTACAGTTTGCAGCAGTTACCAGCTGCTGCAACCCATTTCGCAGGCATGGCAATGCCACGTCCACTATCTATCATGTCTGCAAGAGAGTGCACGGAGGATCCCCCATGATTGAGGCCAAAGCTATCGAAAGTTCCACGTGCATACATGCTAGTCACATCAAACCCTGAAATACTTGAACTGCTGCTATTTATTTCCTTTGATGAATTCAGAGTTCCACCATCTGATTGCAGAACTTCAGAACTCTGAGAACCACTAGACTGGAACAGACCCTCCCCAGTTTTGATCACTGTGCTTCCGCTTTCACCATTCCCATTCTTCAGACTTCTTGTGTTCAAGAAGCGACCACCGCATCCTCTTGGTCGTCTCATTGCATGGAGGTGACGCGATTCATGCATATAGGGCTGCAAGAGCAAAGAAAACATAAAATAGTTCAAGAGTACGTAACAGTTAAGCAACGTCATAAGAATTGATTTATCATTCGAGTGCTGACTGATTAAAGGAAAATTTTGATGTTTTGAACTGGATTATTGGTTATCAAGTGCCTCCTCATTCCTCAAAGATAATATCGTTTGAAATGATATTCAGCTTATAGCAGAGGTACTTTATCTCATTCTCAGACAGTGCATTACTACAGCATGCAGCAAACTTAGAGCTCTTCCCTCAGTGCCTCTTATCTTGGGTATAGAAGCACACATTGCTCTGTACCCTGACAATTATAATTTATAACGCACCACTTTGCGTGGAAACTGGCCATCGTGTGCGATCGGGTTGCAGCAACACTGTATTGAGATAACATAAAGGGGATAAAAATGCGGTTTGCCAAGATGAAGAATCATACCTTGCGGCGCTTTGTCAATTTATTCTCAAGTAAAGCCTTTGCACGTGACTGCCGACGTCTGATGATCCCATGATACTGTTTAGCATTTACATAAATTGGCCCATCATCGGATGTCAAGTTAAGTGGCAGCATTAAACGGCCCTGATTCATCGAAGATGGATACATCTAGGAATCAGTAGACGTGGATATGTGAGGCAGATCACCAAAAGATAAGCAAAAACAAACAATACCACATAGACTACATCTTATAATTCAGTGGACGAACAGACTAATATCGGTCACTCTAAGATTCATATAAAGAAATTGGCAGGACAGTTTTAGATTTTCTGGCTTTCTCATGTATGCGTACACCATATAACAATAGATTAATTATGTTTCCCCTGTAAGCATACGGTAAGAATCACATGATTTTAATAGATTAAGAAGCTTGCTGGAGTGAAGACGCACGAACCGGAATCTGAGGTCCATATGTTGAGATGAGCCCATAAAATCGATCCATGTAAGGATATTTTGAACAGATCTACAGAGAAAAGGATAACAAACATAAAGTAAGCCCAAAGATAAAATAATGAAGCATCAAAGGGTTTGTTTGGTGGGAATTTTTACCACAGGCTGGCTAAATTTTATCTCAAAATGACCACGAGGCTCAGGAGAGGATGAATGAAGTGACATGACTGCCTGATGCTTTTGTGTATCATCTGACATCTCGCAATCTTCTGAAGAATAAACTTAAGATGTTAAGTTGCCAACGTACAAAAAGGCTTTTAGAAGCGAATGGTTAGACAAACAGAAGTTGAAGTATCAATTTTGGTAATAACAGACTTAAAAAAAATACTGCCAGAGAGGTTTTCTTTTACATAATTTAACTGGAGGTCAATCTTTAAATGGACAATCTCACTTTATCTGCTAGATAATAGTCAGAACATTCTGATAATTTGATTAGCAACATCTTGTACGATGAACTTGTCTTCATAAGAACCTTGGAAGTGAATAAGATAGAAAGAGCCCCCGCCCATGGGAAGGGAGGGAGGAGAGGTTCATTCTTCATGCCAAGCAGCACTCACTCATCCGGAATAATTTGATCAGAAGACTCAAGAGTTTCTTATTGCAATCTTCTTTCTGTCAACTGTCAACATGCTTCATCCTGTCTATAACTAATAGAGATGCATAACCATTTACCTAAACTTTGCCAATTTTAATTGACCTTGAAAGACATTTCCCCTCTCTTGAAGGAAAATCCGTGGGGATGGATGAGGTTCGTCCTGAACTTCCTCTTCTCGAGTATCACTGCTCTGCCATATCTATTGGCTAGTTCTGAAAGCAAATTAGCTATTGAACCTCATGAATTATGGGTAAGAGAAATCAAAGTCACTATTGTGGCCCTTGTGGTTGATGTTTTCCTCAAAGCCTCTTTTCACATTGCAATATCTACTGTTACAAAATTTCAAATGTTCGATAAGGAAAGTGCAAGAAGAGTGACTAATCCGTTCTGAGATCAGTGATAGAGATTGATGCTTCCTAAACAAAATGAAACCATAAAATGGTAATATGGTATGAACAATTAAATATCGGACGATTAAACATATTTTAATTATTGAGAAAGTTGAGTTAATAAAGAAAGTGAATGAGACGGGTACTAATATAGTATGGCATTTTGAGCCCTACGTTGAAATATTGACTACACAATGGGATACTCAATTGGATTGTTATTTTTCCGCCACAATAGTTAACTTTCAAGGGAGAGCTTTCTGTCACATTTGCATGCTCATCAATCAGTATCAAAGCTAGTTTAAGTATCACCAAAAAGGGCTACTTGCAAATTGTCTTAACCAATAAGAAAGCTAAGTGAAGTGTTGCAAAATGCAGCAGCCGAAATATAAACCCCGAAGGCACGGCCAATTGACAGAGATCAAGGTAGTAGGATATGTGATACGTAGTCTTCTGTAGAATGGATTGTTCTATGCAGCACATAAATTGGTTGATTCTCCCTCTTTAATAGCCAGTAATTCTATTCCACTTGAGTGCTTATTAGAAGGTTGGGACAAGGGTTATGAAGAGGAAATACTTGAAATGAACTCTGAAGTGCGAGGGTAAGAACCTATACTTCATCTCATTGCAATCTACACCTGACAAATCAAAGTAGGCTAAACTGCAAAACTTAAGATACACAGGCCCGAGACTGACATCCCACGGGAAAAGCAGAATGAAAGAGACACTAGCAAGACTCAAGAGTCTTGTTGAGTAATTTTCAAGAATCTTTTCTCACACAACGTCAGGAACAGTGCCAGTGCTGAGTAGTCTAAGATGATACCACTCACCTTCTGTTGAAATCACCATATGTAGAATCACCTTAAGATTTTGCATTGCACTCATCTTTGCAATGTCAGTCGCATCTTAAAATGGCGACTTAATGATTCACGTGATGGATTATATCCAAGAATATGTCAAACTTAGGTGGAAACCCTGTTCTTAGTATTAATACAAAAGTTAAAAAAATTAGTCAATGTTTATCAGGAGCCCGTTAGACATTCTATCCTATTTATGTGTTTCGTTTTCATAGAATAGACCATGCTAGTATCTGAGTTACTATGCTTTCGAGTGTTGATATATATATATATTGAAATAGGCATAAACATTGAAACAATGCAATTCCATCGGGGAGATGCGTCTAACGGCAACGCTGGATTCAGAGAAGAAAATTACCTGGGAAGATAGTGAACTGTGTGGTGTGTCCTTTATCCAGAACCTGATGGGCTGCTCTTCCTGGCTGCTTCGGGCCAGTAAGATGGTCGGCATAGTTGGGAAAGTCCAGTGAAAAAGGTTTCATTTGGCCAAAAGACTCATGTTGAGCTGCTTGAGATCCAAGGGCAGTCCACCAAGGGGCTGAGGTTGCTGACGACAATTGCCCAATGGAATTGCGAACAATTCCTTCATGTTCTTTGAAATAAACAGTTTGCATGGCCATATGAAGCCTCCGAAATTATCCAAACGATGATTTGCAAGTTTATCCTGTTTGTCTGAATTGTTTCCTGTCTGGAAAGCATATATAGTGAAGGGGAACTTGTAAGTACCTGTACTCATCCGACTGCGAAAGTGAAAAGAAGAATCGAAAGATAAAAAAAGACGGAAGATTGGACTTTGAATAAGTTAAAGCTCGTTGCTACTACTTAAGATGGTACCCAGTCTTCAATAAAGCTTCAGTCAAGAGCCCCTTTTTTTAATATGCATCACAGCAGAAACTCTGTTTCGGTAGCTTTTTCATCTAAAAAAGACGATAATGATCGTTGTAGAAAGCTCAGCCATAAAGAACTTCAGAGTTAAGTGTTCACAAACCTCGAAACAGAATGCAATGTGAAAAAGGAAGGAAACAGTTGCAGGGAGAACGGGAAGAAGAAATTATTTGAGGAAAAAAGGACACTGCCCAACAATCTCAACCAGAAAAATGCAAATAGTGCAGTGGAAATGAGAGTGGAATACAAAAGCCAGATGCATGAACCAAGTTTGTTATAAGCAGTGACCAGAAATTTAAGCTGCAGAGGTATGAAAAAGCTTGAGAAACTCAAGAAAAAAACTCCACACACAGACAGGGGGGCACAAGTGAAGCACAGAAGAATGAGTAGAAAAGAGCCATTAAATGCATGAAGAAGAGGGAAAGAAAAGGAGAGAACTCACATGGGAGTGACGGAAGTAAGGAAGGAGGAAGAGCATGAAATTTTACGGAAGAGAAGAGAGAAGCCCCATTAGGTTGGAGGCATGTCGGTAGAATTTCAAGCAAGGCAGAGACACTACTGAAAGCGGAGTGGTACTTAGTGTAAAGGGGAAATCACCTCCGAGCAAGTGCTTTCATGAGCGGTCTCCTATTTATTCATAAATTATAAACAAGTAACCCTTTAGCGCCTCGCACCCACCGCGCGCGCACTCTCAGTCTCGCTTTCTTAAATACGTTTCCATCTATGCGTTTCACTCACTCTTCTTCATACAAACTGCTTCCCTACGGATGCGTTGATTTATGGGGATTGAACTCCATTGCTACGCATTTCCAAAAAATGCCCCCTAACGGTCCCAGTTTTGATTTTTGGAAAAAAAAAAAGCATAAGAAAAATTCTTTAAAAAAAAACTGTTAAATTTTAAATTTTCAAATTAATATTAGTTACTTTATTCATTAAAAAAATAACTACACTCGAAAAGTAAATAACAATATATTTTTACAGTAATTTCTGATTTAGAATTTTAAAATTTAACAATTAACAATTATTTTTTAAAAATATATCATGCAAATACAGGAGTGCACTATTTTATGATAATAAAATATTAGAATTTCTCTTATTTTATCAATAAGCTAATGATAAAAATATCATTGACGAGAAAACACCCATCAAACCGGGGGAAAAAAAAATAGATATCCTCCCATCTTTTGAGATGAGCAAGTAATCCAGACCCCAAGCTATTTATCCTACTGTTATCTCGCGTTAATTCGTCAACTTTTTATATTGATTTTTTTAAAAATACAAATTTAAAATTTTTTGGAGTTCGATTTTTTGACCGTACAAGATTGCATTCCTTATGATTACATTTTTTTGCCTTTTTTGACCCCCAAACTGCATAATTGCAAGATATTTATTTCCGCGTCCTTGTTAAATTGATTCCGCCCGTTCGACTCGTAACATTGGTGAGTTAGGACTTATGATTACTTTATCTTAAAACCAACGTTAGCTTTCCTTTTCACTTTGATTTTTTTTTTTAATTTCTAATTATCTGTTTTTTCACTCAATCTGAACAAACTATAAAGAAAAATATGCTAATTTAAAAAGCAAACGCATATAGTTTGGAACGAACCCACCGGCTGGGGAGCGAATGGTATCTTTCAGATATCACTATCCTTTCATATTAACTGAACTTATATAGTATCTTTCATGGGAGGTACCGACCGCTGGTGGGAAATTTCATCCATAGCAACCAGAAATCAAAGTTGAAACCATGTTCAGTACTGAGAATTAAATACAGAACAAGAATATGAGAATATAACTTAAGCCGTCCAAAATAAAAACAAAAACAAAACAATTAAACAAAATAGCATAAACTCTGCACCCTTTTAATATTATCATAATTTACAGACATATACATAGCACTATGATCCAACTAGTATTGTGGCCAGCACTAGTTCAACTAGCTAGTCAAGTTACACTCAGAGAATCACTGAGCAGTTAAAGAGGACCACTTCAAAAGGTGTAATTAGCCCTTGGTAATATATAATTGTATAACTAAACTATCAAAGCCTATTTGCCTTCTCGTTTCAAGTTTGGGTCATTTTTTAAGCCGGCCCCAACCTTAGCTTTTTCAATATTCAACCCTAGCTTTTTCAATATATATATATTTATAAAGGTTCATGGGACTTGCCTGTATGATCCACATTACTATGACTTTAATTAGTGATTTCTGCCTTCACATTACACGTTGCAGACTTCACTTTCATTATATTTGTAGCCGGCTAATTATATGTTTTGACACAAAATTATATTGTTGCTTGAAGAGGCGCCTTTAATATGACGAAAGAGAATCAAAATAAGATATAAAAAAATAAAAAGGAATATATGAGATGAACTATAAATTTATAATAGTCACATTCATGTTGAAAAAATAGTAAAAATAAATATATTATATTGGATTTCCTTTTCCGCTTGCCTTTTAACATTTATGCAGCACGTCCACCATGAAGTCGCTCTCTACACACTCTTTGCCTAGCAACAACATTCATAGGATTCCTCGAAAGATCATTTGTGACTCTCCACAAGCCACTATATATTTAATATTTATATCACTTTTCCTCCCTTCCTTTTTGGATAAGAACCATTTCTGTCTCTCCAAAATGACAGGCCTTCAATTCATCTAATTAATTCGTTTAGCATTTATTGATAAGAACAGATGATAAATATGTATAATATTTCTAATAATATTTCTAGTGCATGTATTTAGAAGTTAGCAATGTACGGGACTAACATCTAGATAGTACACAGAGCTAGTGTTTCGATTTTGTCGTAGATTTTTACTACTCTAATTTGCCTTGCATTCATATTGTCTTTAATTTGCTTACCTTTTAGATTTTCTGTAGTTTCATTTATTGTTGCTCTGGCCGATAAGTATAAGCCTGGAACTTTGCTAGTTAAGCCCTTTAAAAGTATTATTAATTCAAAAGAAATCACACACCATCGATCACCACTAGTTTTATTTTTTTGTCCTTCGTGCTTTTCTCTATAAGAAAATAGTACAGGTCTTAGTAACAAGAGTATCATTTTGAAACCATATACCAGCTGACTTATTCCTCTTCCTTTTTTGTTTTTTTAAATTTTCTTCGATTGGAGAATGTATTATTGGACAGAGCAATTGCACTCGTAACTTAGACTTATAATCTCTTCTTCACGTTAATAGACTTATGGATTGGCGAACCGGAGAATAGATCGGAGCGTTTGCTTCCTTCTTCTTCTTTTTTCTTTTTATAACGCGACTGGTTAATTATCTTTTACGGATGTATCGGAACCTCTCATGAAACAAGCAATATAGTGCCATATTTTGGGATACAAAGGGTAGAATTTTCTGCACCAGAAGAACTGATGATGGGGCTATGTACGTGCCTTAATTGGAAGCACGCAATAGTTAGATTGAACAGACGAATGAACTGGTGATGCCGTGATGATGAGATGTGAAAGGGAACAATTCGGTAGGTAGGGAGGACATTTCAGCAATTTAATTCACACTATCTCCTCCTATCCTTAATATAAGAGTCTGTTTAACTTTTAATTCAGTTCTAAATATAAAACCTCAATCTACTTTGTCTCTCACATTGATATATTTTTTTCAAGATAATCTTTGTAGTAATCGCACATATTAAATATTTCATCAAATAACACTTGATTAGTAAGGGTATTTAGAGAAGACAATACCTATTTATTATAAATAACTAATTTAACTAACTAGGTTAAGGTGCATCCAATATTCTGAAATATTTTCTCATTTGTGATGTATCTAGCATCCTGAAGTATTTTTTTAGATGCGTTCAATACCGTAAAGTATTTTTTGGTGTATCTAATATTTCAAAATATTTTTTTAGGTGCGTTCAATACCTAAAAATATTTTTTGGTACATCCAGCACCAAAGCAAAAAAGTATTTCAGGATGTTAGTCACACTTAAGTATTACTTCAGGGTGTTAGATGCTCCATAAAATATTTAAAAGTTTTGGATGTACTTGAGAAAATATTTTGGGGTGCTTAATGCACTTTAATCCTAACTAATTTTTTTAATCTATTCAATGTAGCCAACTAGTTCTCGTACTAATGATAAGAGATAGTAATTGATTTATATGCTAATTAACGGTTTGATTAAGGAGTGATATAGCAGGGATTTGTGATAAGTCAATGATTTAGTTGAAGAAAACCAAGGCCATCATGATAATGCGTACAAATAAATCGAAGGCCAAAGAAAAATGAACTGGATTCGTGATGGTGATCACAAAGTCACACTCTACCATTGATAGAGAAAGACTGCTTTGATTGTCGATTCCAGCAAAATGGGGACAACCTTTCCCTTATATTGTCCCCTTCCTGGCTGTTTATAACCATTAAAGGCCACTTAATTATAAGATTTCAGAAAATATATATAATAGTTATGTATTTTCTGAGTTTGATCTCAATCAAAACTCCATCGGACACTTCATCTCCAAAGTACCCTCTCCGAAGCTGTGAAAATTAATATTGCTGTCTAATCTAAATAATTGAATCTGCAGGTCTTCCAGTTAATAATGAGATATATACAAACCCCAACTTCATCTCCCCTTGGTTATAAAAAAGAATTATAGCCCTCGCTGGTAATAATTGTCCTTGGATTTTTTAACTTTCCTGTTTTAGGCATATAGATTGGCCCTTGAATTTAGTCTACACGTGGACGTATTTTCTAATTATGACAAAAAAAATTGATAAAACTGGGCCCCGAGAATTCATTTAAATTCATATTTCACTTTGAAAATTGTTTATAGTTATACTTACGAATTATTACCTTTATATATAGAATATCAGTCAAATTTCTATTTTCTGCACCAACTTTTATTAACTACTCTATAAATTATTAGTACAATTCTTTTTATTGATAGTACTCATCCAATCCTAAATATAAAACCCTTATACACATTTAGAACCAGAAGAGTAGCATCTAATTTAATTTAGAGGATTTCAAATTTATTATCCATATCAAATTCTCACCATCGTCATTCTTACATGCATACTGTACTATTTCCTAACCATCTGTTACAGTTCTCCGTAAACTTATTATTTTTAAGTAGCATGAATCTGGGGCCATCCCCACTTTTTCAGTGTTATCAATGCAGTTTTCAAAAATAAAACATCGTTCAGTAGTATGTTCTTTTTTTCGTCTCAATTATCGATCTCATCGTATTGAATTCCATAAAAGGCAATTAATACGTAGCGAAAGTACTCCTTGCTCTTTAAGTAACCTTAAACGAGATAAATGAATCGACAACCTTCGCATACCTGCAATCAAAACATCATGTTCATGTCAATCCAGAGATCGCTTTTCCTGTTTTTGTTTGTTTTTTTTGCCCTTCAATTCAAATTAATTTGTTCACAGTTTGGACTAATTTGTTTGTAAGGAAGAAGAAAAGTTGGTGGTTAAGGTGGGGGAATAAAGAAAGAGGGTCTCTTTAGGGCATGCATCATCCAGTGGGGTTATTCAAGTGGACGTGAATTAGTCGCACTTTGTTGTTTCTTTCTATAATTAAACCTTTGATGAAGTCTTAAAGTGCTTCTGCTAATTAAAGTTCAAATTCTATGTCAGTGCGAAAACCACCCTCTTGCGTTGTGTATGTCGGCTTCATCATATTACTAAAGTCTACAGGAAAAAAATTTAAAGCTAACTTCAACTAGCTAGCAAGTTAGAGTCAGCGATGTTCACAATTCCATATATGGCGTATAAAGAATCTTCGGGAAAATTGCTTATAAATCCCCGTGCGAAAGTTTATCACCATAAGATTCCCAATTACTGTACAATTTAAGGACGTAGGCCCTCTGGTCAAAAAAAAAAAAAAAAGGACGTAGGCCCTGCAAATGCATAAGGTTAAGGGGAAAAAGACCAAATTGCCCTTACTGTGGTTTTTTCTTAAAAATGTAAGGGCATATATATATATATATATATATATATATTTGAATAATATATATTATGGAGTATCCTAAAAAGTTATTGGTCACAGACAAAATAAAAATGCACATGGTGGGAGGCTAATGGTGTCAAAGAAAACACCTAGCTAGGGGCTTGGTGTGAGGACCCTTCAAGTTTCATGGAAGATCACAAAGCTGATGATGGTGCGAACGAACTTACTGGAGTTGCAGATATAAAGGATAGCCCTAAAATGAGTTGTCCTTGGACTCGTCAACACTCTGTTCACTGATCATTTATCATAGTGTAGTTAATTATATTGGTGATGACACGAGTAAAAGAAACCATTAATATTTATTTGCTACTTTTTTCTTTTGGTGTCATTGCTGGGCAACTCTGACTTACTTCATCTAGTACCTTTTTTGGGTTAACAGTTACTCAGTCTGGTATAAATACTATATATTTTGTCTGCAACAGCACCAAATGAAGTCTTATTTCATGTGGTAGGCACTCCGGGCCAGTCAGTTTGGCAATAAGTATGTTTCTCTGAAGCCATAATCATAGATCACTAATTAACTAGTTTCCAAGGAATGATATATTCCTTATTATTTCCTTTAGAATATTCTTTAAAGGGTAATGGTTGTGAATATTCTACCAGGATAACACACATATCTACCCAGTTGCTAGAAAGTATATGATTCTCCTCAGATCAATTTTTTTAACAATGTCACCTTCTACCAACTATTTATAAAAGAAAGGTCCAAAACTCAACACCTGCTTTCAATCAGAAATCAGGAAGTCGTTCCCGGTTAGCCCCTCATCACATGGAAAATGTATCTAATCAAAATTTGATATCTTGATATCATGTGCACCTAGGTATCTCTTTACTACTACCTTTAGTCCTTAATATAAAAACTCATTTGACTTTTATTTTAGTCTTGAATATGAAATCCTAATCAACTTTGTTTCTCATATCTATTCTTTTTTTTTTTTCAAAATAGTCCTCATAATAATAGTATTCTAACCAATATACTTGATTAGCAAGGATATTTTAGGAAAGACAATATCTATTTATTACAAATAACTAACTTAACTAATTTTTTTAATCTACTCAAATTAATTAACTAAATCCTGTATTAAGGACCAGAAGTAGTACTTGATCTTTGGTGTAATCTTTGGTACACTATTCTCTTTAAAATGGGTATTTCAACATCATGTGGATTACGTGGTTCATTATTTAAGGCAAGGAGTAACATTTAAAAACTAAGGAATCATAACCTTTGAATAATCTCAAAGATTGGCCTAATCAAATCAGTATTTCAATCATATGTAGGTCAGAATGGCGCAATTAATTAAACAATTGCTTTCACTTTCTGCCAAAAAGGTGCAATGAAACTTCCCCCGGCCATTTAAATATTATTCAATGCGTCTAAGCTTTTCAACAATCAGTTTATAACGCATAAAAAGCATTAAAGCAGCTTGGGAGAAAGTGGAAACCTTAAAGATTTCGAGTTTAAACTAATTAATTTGTGGCTTCTTCAGGTCCAAGATAAAACTATGATGTCAGCAATTTCAAAGTAACCATAAAACTTAGTGACCTTGCCCCAGAACATGAGTTTGATGAAAGCCACCTAAGGTCAGCCAGCACAAGTGGCCGTAGAATAGGAAATGGAAGGAAAGAGTGGTGTCAATGGATCAAATCTTAATGTAATTGTGTGTGTGTGTGAATGAGAGGGGGGGGGGGAACCCCTTGGGCTTAATTTGTCAATGAACAAAAATTACAAATTTACAGAACGAACGTGGAACCCCTGAACTCGGAAGGCAGATGCATTTGTGTGCGCGAGAGATCGTGCATGCTAGCTAGATAGGTTTGGTTTGGGACTAAATGGAGGGGGCCAGCGGGTATTATGCTTAAATTACTAGCAACGACTTTAATAATAAGGCCTTATTGACCTGGCTACATAAATAAAGGCACTACTAATAATAATATAGACGAAGGGAAAGCCTCTGAGACTATATATCATCAAGCACTGATTTGTTTATAAAAATCGAGAATACCACTAGTAAAGCAAGAGGCAGATTCTTTTGTGGGATCAGAGAGATCATCCACACTCTGAAGATGCAATAGTGGGACATAGTGGCAAATCAGCATCTAATTGAATTTTTGGCAGCAAGACTCTCTAGAGTCGAGATCTCTTGTGGATTCAACCATAATATTCTGGTATCATCATTAATCTCTGAGATTAACATAATTAAATCACTGAATTCCCCATTGCACCGGAGAGAAATATGCAGTACTAAGAAAGTACGAGGGCTTTTTCTTTTCCTTCGTGGATATAAATACAGTAACACAGTTCTCAGATGACCAAATTGTTTATCGTGTTTATAACTCAAAAGTGAAGAGAAAAGTAGAACTAGTGATGAGAAAAGCAAGTGATGGGCTGGATGAGATGGGATTGCCACTAAGTTTCAAGCAAGTGGAGTTGCGTTTACTGTTCACTTGTGATGTCCACCTAGGGGTAAGGGGTTTATTAGATTTAGATCTTAAACATACTGATTGAGCAGTAACAATAAACAATTATGAGCAGAATGTTCTTGGAGTTTTTTTAAGATAATGGAAAAAAAATCCACCTTTGAATCTTTTCCAACTATTTGAGCATCTTCATTCTGAATCATTTCTTCCCATCGAAGCACCAACGAAGCACAAGTGGCGAACTAAAGATATCAGTGCCTTCCCCAAAAATATATAATTAATAATATATACGGGATTGAAATGATAATTAATACTTCCGGTCCTAATTATAAGACCCAGTTGACTAATTTGAGGAGATTAAGAAAAGAAGTTAAGTTAGTTATTTGTTATAAATAGGTGTTGTATTTTCTAAAATATCCTTATTAATCAACTATATTGGCTAGAATTATAATTATTAGAATGACCACCTTGGGAAAAAAATGCATAAATATGAGAAACAAAATGGATTGAGATCTTATATTTAGGACTAAAATAAAAGTCAAACAGGATCTTATATTAAAGATCGGAGGTAGTTCCGGTGTTTTGATTCCAGGTAATTAATACTACTTCCTTTAGTTTCTCTTTATAAGAGATGTTTGACCAAGTCACGTTGATAAAAAAAAAAGTAGTGAGAAATAATAAATATGTAAAAATTAATTCTTCTGACGTATTTCTGGTGAGTGAAGGAGCAATGATGCTTCCAAGGTTGTGTGGTGATAAATATGTGGATATTAAATGAGTAATTAAATGAAGCAAAATGAAAAGCTATTTGAGGCATAAGTGATAGGTGTTTCTTTTTTTTTATAAAAAGAACGGAGGAGGGAGTTTTGCTCATCCGGGCGGTGGTAGTGTCCAACCCTTTTGCTGTCCTGGATGAAATGAATATGAAAGGCTTTATTGGGCTTCTTCTCTCCAAAGTCCAAAGGCATTGTCCGGAAATGAAGAGAGTAAAGGGTCTTTATTGGGCTCCAAGCATGATCCCCCCAAGCTTTTCGGCCTAGTTCAACGCTATTCGATTTGCTTCGTTTTTTTTTTTGGGTGATAATGTGATATGATTCGTTAAATTATGAAAACACACGCGACAACGAAGAAGACTTCCATTTCTGGTTTTTAAAAAAAAAAAAACGAACTCCAAAAGTCCCTGGCATCTGAAAATTTTCCTTAAGGAGTCGAGAACGTAGTACGTAGCCGGTGGCGGTGTTGCTCATAAGAGGTTATTTTAATATATAGAACAAGAAGACTATAAAATTAATTATAATTTCTTAGATTAACGTTACAATGGAGGGCAAAACTTAAAATAGATAGACACAACTGTCCGCATATAACATGCAATATCTATAGGACAGCTTAATAATTAAAAAAGGACAATCAGAAATTTTTTTTTTAAAAAAAAAAGCAAGCTAAATCACGACTTTTCTGATAATGCATGGAACGTGCGCAGCTATTGACTCAACAAGAGTAACGTCTTTGAGAGAAACACGATATCCAAATGAAAAACTCCAGCTTATAAATTAACACACACAGCAGCGTTGACCTCCATGGCCAGCTAACCTTAATTTAACGTTAAGAAGAGCTTCACATGCCCTGGCCATGCCCTGCGGCCTCATTGTCTTGTGTTGTACTGATCCCAAATGCATCTTCCCTGGTTTTAAAAAGCTCAAACGCTTGCTTCCTTCGCCACACTCTCTCTCTCTCTTCCTTCATACCGTTGACTTTGACATTATCATCTCCCACCCCAAATAAGCAGTTTCTCATTCATTCACCGCTTCCTTTATTGACTTCCCTCCATGGCTGACCAAATCCTTTCTAAAATCCCCTCCTTCCCAAGCACAGTTCCACCTGCTGCTGCTGCTGCTGCTTCTTCATCATAATACAGGATGAGCAACAACGGCACAGATAATTCCTCTGGATTCCTAGGATCCAACAACATCAGTGGATTCGGGTATGGCATAGGAATATCAAGTGGGATTCTTCTGCTTGTCACCACCATCACCCTCACTTCCTATTTCTGCACCAGAACACAGTCACCACCGTCTTCTCCCTCCCCCTTGGCTGCTCGGAGAAATCTCCCCACTTTCTTTGAGCCGCATCACACGGTGGTGGATGTGGGGATAGACGAAGCCACCATTCTGAGCTACCCCAAGCTTCTGTATTCTGAGGCCAAGCTACAAAAGCCAGATTCCACGGGGACATGCTGCTCCATATGCCTAGGAGATTATAAAAGCAGGGATATGCTTCGGGAGTTGCCGGATTGTGGTCATATATTCCACCTTAAGTGCATTGATCCATGGCTCAGAATGCATCCAACGTGTCCTCTCTGTAGAACATCTCCTGTCCCAACACCACTCGCCACGCCTCTCGCCGAGGTGGCTCCATTGACCACCATGCGGGTACCATAATCGTAGGGACTAGCGACACTTGATCGAAGCAGCATCAGAAATCTGAAATGCTTTCATATCATCATTGTCACGCTATGAAATTAAGACGCAGTTATTGATAGAGCATTCTTTTTCTTCTGTGGGTTTTTATCCCCCTCTCGTTTGATTTGATATTGTAAATTCTTTCCTATTGTGGCAGGGTCCATCAGTATTAAAAAAAAAAAAAACGGGTCAATGTCTAATTAATTTACGTAGCATAAGAGGACACTAATAATGGAATATAACGTCTAGTTTTCTCCATTTCTGAGGGCTTGCATCTTAACGTCTAAGTAGAATTGTTGCATTCTAGAATTGAATGACAATATACAATCGTTTTGAAAATTTTCCAGATTAATTTCTAGATCCAGTTTAATTTACCTAACGTAAGAGAACACTAACCATTTAAAGATTAAGTCATACTCCTCCAGTCATAAATATAAAATCCACTTTATAGTGTAATTTACACTACAAAATGGGCTTATACTTAGGACTAGAGGAATACTTCAAAAACTAATCCATGTTTGAAGGTTATACTCACGTATAATTCTTTGAAGAGGTCTTTCGTGAAAAATGTGCAGAACCATCACAAACAAACCGTGAGAAAACATAAGAACATGCTTCTCGCAACAATACTTCACTCTAGTTCCCATTGATTTTAAATCATCCATTTTTGTACTTACAATCCCAATTGCATACTTTCTTCCCCCAAAATCTAACCCAGATAACCACGCAGGAGAACATCTCATTCTATTTGCTCCCTGTTAATAACGGTAGCACTTGCACGGGCACCAAATCATCCATGCCCGTTGCGATGCAGATGAGAGACAAGTAGGTAACCGATGAGGCCAGAACTGCTTTTCCAATAACATGTAGAACATTCTTAAATAATACCAAAATCCAGAATCTTCCGAAAAGCAACGGATAAGAAATAAAAACCTTACATCAGAGTGCTATGAAAAGTCTGCAAAAAGCTTTATAAACCATTCATGAGCAGAACCTTCCCAAAATTACATGTTAGGTACCAAAAGTTTGCGCTTACTTAGAAAGGGAATTACGAGACATTTACATGATATCCTCCTCAAGGGGGAAAAAAGGAAACGGACAGAGGGAAAAACAAGAAGCAAGCGCCCACGAACAATTACAAACATTAACTTAGCTCACTGTTAGACTTTCCTTTAGTTAATTTCACTTCAAAACCGGAAACAAAGAATTCCGGACAAACAACCGTGACGCACTTGGTTTGATATCAATTAACATTTATGCCAGAACCTCAGTCACCGAAAGGGCAAGATTCTGAGGTGCAGCCATGAATGCTTGGGTCAGCGGAGTTGTTGCAGAATGTGATGGTAACAACTGGGTGAAGTGGAACTCAATTTGCAACCTGTGATGAAGCGGTGTTGATGATATTAAGCCTTTCTTAACATCAGCTTGTAACTCCCTGATAGGAATTGCAGCCAAGAAGCTTTTAATGTACTCTTTGCAAGCTTCCTTCCCTTGGCATACAAGCTCCTCTTCCTGCTCATCCTTCAACTGCTCTTCTGTTTCCACACCGGAATCTACCTCCTTAGTGTTGACTTGTTGGTCCTGCCTGCTATTGCGCTCTGATGCTACTGCAGCAGTTTGTTTATCACTGGTTGTTTGCTCATCTGATGACTGGGAAACATTTTTCAGTTTCTTTATTACTGTGCTGTCATCAAATTTTAATATATACGCCTGATTGCATCCTTCATAAAGCCTCTCCCCTAAAGTGTCAATGATGTAATAAGCATCTGATTCTACTCTGAGGATGAAAAAATGGTCATTCCAACTCACAATATAAACACGGGGTTCAGCCTTGCTAGGGCACTCCTGCTCTGCACGACTAATCTCATCCCAAATGTTATCAAAAGACATGGCACCATGCAGAAAGTCAAATCTATCCTCATCCATTCCTTCTGGATGGAAGAAACCAATGAATGATTTCCCAGGAATCACAGAAAGATGGCGTATTCTGGCTTGAATGACTGTTTCCAGATCAAAGTGTTTGTCCGGAAACCGCTCCCTATAGGTCTCATTTTCGCACAAGTTTCTCCATTCTAAGGAACCTTCTCGAATTAGACTATCAAACTGGGACTTTATGGGCATGAGATCAGGATTGTTTTGAAACCAGTCAGCAATTACAGCAACAAGAGCTGTGCAAGCACTCTCACCAGCAGCACGTTCACTGCGCTGATCAATCGAGGCAAAGAAGACCTGAGTCAGAAGCTTCATGTGACCATCACGACTTGTTACTTCTTTTTGCTCCCAAGTCCCAATGGCAAAATTATCATCCCCAAATTCAGAGACTGAAGATCGATTTGCACACGAGTCATCTTCAGTCTTGTACAGCTGTTAGATGTAGCAAAACATCAGGACTGATAAGATAAACAACAGCGTCAAATAAATATTGAGGATTATACCATTATTTTTATAGAATGCACGAACAATTAATTGATTGGCATACAGCTCATTTACTTGCTCAATGCAGAATCAAAAAGTTCATTCTGCCAATCATCACTCATTGCATTTAGTATTTTATGTCGAGACCAAAGTGGTCAGCAATAATTATTTTCCAAATATTAAGGCAACGAGGGAAATATTTGGAGGGGAAACTCAGGTAAATTCCCAAAGAGGTTTATACCATCTTCTAGCTCACAATGGTGAGATTTCTAGTCACTATTCACCAAGCGATAATTTAAAAAAAAAAAAAAAATCTGAGCATCAAATTTCAAATTACCAGGTAGCAAACCTCTTGAAGAAGCATAAAGACTACAAAATCGTTGGAAGGGAAACATTATGAGATAGATTCTTACCCCAGGTGTGATGGATTCGTCAGAACTAAGTTGGCGACGATCAAAATCTATATCATCACCACCTTCTTCTGCATAGGCCTTCTTCAACAAAGGCTCTCCCTTAGCTTTGGGTGATCTGAAACTCAACTTTCTCTTCCTCCAGGGCAATATGCTACGTTTTGAACTTGGTAAAAGAGAAGGCTCAGAAGATGTCCCTGATAAATCCTCCATCTGCAAGCACCCCACATCTGACTTGCCATTGCTGTAGTAAACCCAGTCCTCATCATCATCATTTACCCTCAAGCTGGAGTAAAAGGTCCCTCCAGCATTAGCATAGGCCAGTTTTCCATAACTGAATGACTTTCTCATGCTGCTATCTTCCTTTCCCTCATCCGAATCTCCTTCTCCATAATCATCAAGTGAGTCAGAGTCAAAAGAATAATTGCACTCACCATCCTCACTCCTGGCAGAGCATCTGCCTTCACTGCCCTCTTCCTCATGGCATGCCTTTTTTGCTTTCCGAGCGGACACATACTCTGTGAAAATCTTTACTTTTCTAAGACCAGCTTTGATTGCAGAAAGCTCATCTTTCTCTCCCAAGGCAGTTTCCCCTGACTGGGATGGAGACGGAACAGGAATTATACTTCTCTGAACTTGATCCATACTTTCTTGAGCAGCTCTTAGCTCCACTAAGTTAACTGAGACCTGCATGATCAAGAGATGCTATGAGAGGTAGAAAAATAATACAGACACTGCGAATCAGAAGACCACAGTAACAGTTACTTGCCCCCACTTATACGCAAATATGACTAAATGAAATTTGTATGACATCAGGGCGTGAAAGTGAGAGACATACGCAAAGCACAGGACAGGGTTCAACAGAACCCCCAGGAAGCGTGAGTGGGATGTTTAAATCAAAGTTTTTCTGGTCAGCTGCTGATGCAAATTCAGCAAGATTCAGTGATGCCGTTCCAACAACAGGAATCTTGTTCTTTGGCCTTTGATTTAATCCCTGCATTACATGGTGCATCGGTGTCCAGTTAGGTGAATAGGAACAGTCATCTAAATTCAAAACACCAGAAGCAAACAAAAAGTAGTATACTGTTAACAGTGAAAAATTACCCCCAAAAAAAAAACATGATGACCAAATAGAGGACTATTTGAAGTAACTATAGCAAGAAAATGCTCTTCAAGAAATAGCGAAATCTCCAAGCTTCAGTCAGTTAACAGTATAAGCACTGCAGACGGACAAATCATAAAATTAACATACTCCTATTCAATACTGGTACACGATTTTTCGTCAAAAGTGATTTCAAACGGGTAAATACTAGGGAAAGTGAGAAAATTCTCATTGAAGGTAGATAGGCTCATGTGAATAACCAGCCCAGATATTTTTATTTTTTATTAAAAAAAAAACTTCAATTCATATGAACTTTCGTTTGAGTGCGTGAAATAGTAGAAAGTGACAAAATTGTTTTTATAATTATAAATGTTTTATAAATCTTTATGGAAGCTAGCATAATTTGTACCGAAAATAATTGTAGAAATAAGGAAGAGTGTAGATGAATCAAAAGGCAGAGAGACTAACATTAAACACGGTGAAAGCGATCTCCCAAGGATGGAAGGCATTGTCCTTGTAGGCCGAGAGAGTGCACAGACTCTGAAACTCCTCGTCCCAGTCAAAGACGCCGTTGTGGGCACCGCCGTCCACCTCCCTCGTGAAGTTTCTGACCAAAGCGCGCCGCAACGAGCCCAAGGTTAACTTAGGACCCTTCCACTTAATTTCGACAGTCAATCTAGTTTCAGTAGTCCCCTTCTCCGCACTCTCCCGCAGCAGATCGCAACCCTCCAACCTCCTCACGATGAGTCTCACCTCATACTTTCGGTAAAGAAGGGGCGGCCATGGCCGCCACCTCATCATCTTCACTACCATCAGGACGGACACACCAAATACAAACAGAAAAATTGAACTTGAAAAAAGAATGGAATGGAAGGAATCCGGGAATCAGAAGGGATAAGACAACCAGTTGGGATCTTGGGAGATCTTCGTATCAAGAGTTGGAGAAAATGCACGGACGCAATTTGGCAGAGAAATATTTCTCCGGAAAAACTCAACTGGGAAAGGAGGAGAGCGCGAGAGATTGGGCGAGAATATGCCGTTATTTTGGGTTAAAAAGGCGAGAGGCAAGGGGGTGGGGTAGTAATCAAACCAGGGTTAAAAGGGCGGGTACTGGTTTGGGGTTAAGTTTACCCATGGGGAAGAAACCTTGCAGTTGACTCCTCTACAGTCCGACGGTTTCTCTTTTTTAATGTTTTTGATTTTGACTTTTTTCCTTTCTCATTCAATTTTCTCCTCTCTTTCACATTAATTGTTCTTTTTTTTACCAGCCTTTTAAATTAATTGTTTACCCCATTTCCACGTATGTCCGTTTCATGGGTGTATGAGAATCCTTTATTTAATTTGGTCCTTTAAATGCCTGGATATGGGTCATCTCCTTGCAAAATTGAGGAACGTGGCCTAAAGTTGGAAAAAAGACATTTTACGACCTTTTGTTATTAATATACAAAATAATTAATTAAATTAAAAAAGTTTATTAAATTAGTTATTTGTCATAAATAGGTATTGTCTTTTCTAAAATATTCTTGCTATTAGTTAGAACTACCATTATTGTAAGGATTATATTGAAAAAAATAGATAAATATGAAAAATAAAATGAATATGAGTCTTATATTTAGGACCAAAATAAAAGTTAAACGAACCATTATATTAAAAACTGAAAGTATTATTTTGCAGTAGTAGTAACGTCTAACAAACACCAAAATGTTCACACTTTTGATTTTGTAATTTTAATTTGATTCTTTATTTTTATAAAATAAATTTTTAGTCTTCTAATGTTAATATATAATAACTCTTCAGTATTTTTTTACTAATCATTATTATTTTAAAAAATTAAACTCTATATATTACTTATTTCGATCCTATTTATGAGCTTCAAATTTAGAAAGGAGTGTGGTTGATTTTATAAATTTTGATGTGGGTTCCTCTTAACATTTAATGCATTTTTTCAATGTTACTCTTAATTATTTATCTCTTATCATATTTTTTCACATAATTTTTTAATCATTTTTCTCATTTATTATAAGAACATATTTAAAAATAAAAGTCTATTTCTAACCTATTTATTTTTAACTAATTATTCATTATTTATGAAGTAGTTATTTGAAACTCATAACAAGTATAGAAGGAAGGAAGTAGTTTTTAAGAATATTACATCAACATTTAAAATTTTATTAGCGAAATTTTTTGTTGGTAAAATTGATGGGTTAGTGATACGAAAAGATCGATTTTGCATAAACTTAAAAAGTTAAGAATGCATTTCTGCCTCCAGCCAGCTGCAAGTAAGAAATCACTCCCTTGGGCTTTAACTAATAAGCATTCTAAAATTTAAATATTTACTCAATCCGGATAATAGCCCCTGAGTGCGTCATGTATCTTCGCAAGATATATGTCATGAAGTTGGTAAAAGGATGGAGTTAAAACCGAAATCTGCGGATTCATGACAACCAGCAAATTAACCAACCCCTTCCCTACGATTCTTCGATTCACATGATCTTCTATTTCAAGACCTCCTACCTATCTTATGAAGGCAGCTTCCGTTCAATTTCAGGACTACTTCCTTTCTTAACGCATACGTTTATCGAACAAGACTGGTTTTCATGCCTCATAGCAGTATTTGCCAATATTTTAAATTTTGTGAATATGTTAATTTTTTGTTTTGCTGCTCCTTGTTAGGAAAAGAAGACAGGAGTAGTAATTAAGCTTCGCCATATAAAGAATCCATTTTAATTAATACTCTTCCGGTCCTTAATATAAGATCTATTTAATTAATTTGATTATATTAAGATAGGTAAGTTAGTTAATTATAAGAAAAGTGACATGTTTTTTCTAAAACACTATAATCATCTTTCTTAATACCCATTCTCTCTTTTACTTGATCATGGTTGAGAGAGTATCTATAGGGGTAATTTAGAGAAAATTAATAAATATAAGAAATAGATCTTATATTTTTAGAACTAAAACTAACTCAAAAATTGAGTACTATATTAAGAATCAGAAGAGTACTTGTATTCCTTACTGTCCAAGCAAAGCATTCATAGGCAATCCTTCACACAATGAATAGCAAATACTCGCAGCTAGCCAGGCCACCAAGTCAAATAAAAACAATCGCTGACGTGGTTCATGAATCTGCGTGTACATATGAATGATCATCATGAGTCATGACAACCTTCTCCCATGTCCCCGTTTTTTTTTTTTTTTCCTTGATCCTGCTCTATGTGTCTCTACTATTAAAACTCCGCCAACAGGTGCACGTTACGAGGCATGGGCGACCAAGTAATTAATCAGAACAAGCTTCTTTTATATATATTTTGTACGTCAACCCTGTCGCCTTATATATGTGCTAGGTACCACGATTTAATTATTTTAGTGTTTCATTATTTCTTGCCGGTCCACCCTTCTGAGGAAAGAAGCCAACCCCGGCCATAAATTTCTATATACTGCTTGTAGCAGTATACCAATTCTGATATATTTTTAGTGGTGTTGATTAATGAATTGAATATAAAAGCGGGGGGCTTTCATAATTTCCACTTTGAGTGGTGGCACCACGACCGTCACGCGCAGTTTTCGATTATAAATAAATGCACCATTATTATAAAGTCAACCTTCGAGCAGATAATATCATCATAAATACGTACTCCTAATGTTTCTTTCTTTATTTTTCTTTTTCTTCTTTTTGGGGGAAAAAAAAAGAAAAAAGAAAATCCCCAGGCATTAACCGAGCGAGCACGAGGACTACTCCTTTATTGACTTCGATCATTCACGCTGCGCAGCGTGCACCGCATCTGTATTATGTTCCCTCCCGGCACATGGATCTTCGTTCGTGTACGTGTCTTACTGCCTCGGGGTCTGATCGCCTACGCTCGCGTCCACGGCGGCCGTCCTGTAGCGACGACAAAGGAGTCTCGATCGTTTGTGGGGCACCTCATCTGGCTTTACTCAGTGCTTTACAGGTTGGCTTTTTGGGACACGCATTATTGGTTCCAACTCACAAACAAAAAAATATTTCGCTCATCTCAACAGTCAGCAATCAACAGACCATTAAAAGCTGCGCATAGGGCTGTGAGGTGGGGGAAGCAACTATGGAATCTCTTTTAGGCCGAACCTAACAACATGGACAATTATTAGTTGTAGTCGCCTTAACATCCGCTCATTTTCACTCATGGCTTCCATGATTAGTAGGTAAGCTTGTCTATGTATATTTAAGAATGCAGAATTTGAATCGGCCCTGCTAATAATTTAATTAGTTAGTCACATACACAGCACATCAATAAATATTGATGGTATCTCTCCATCAACTATAATTACATGATAATAAAAGAATGGGAACAGGTGAATGATGGTTGTCATGGAAGCTTCATCCTTCTTAGTTAGATTTTGTTGCGGTCCCAGTTATACATGAGGCGTGGACAACGATGATATAATTATATATCATTATTATTGTTGTTTTTGTTGCTGGTTGGTACGTTGCTTCTATTTTTCTGATGAAACAAATTGAAACAAATGAAGGAGAGGCAATGTTATTGAGCTTCAAAAGAAATGAACTCCGCATTACTGTGAATCCAGCAAATAAAATGATGAGTGGATGTGTTTGAAATGGAACCAGCGTGTGATACGATTGCGAAGTTGCAGTGTGGCCCAACAGTCAACATATATTGTTATTGCTTATATCTCTGTTACCAAACTTATGAGTGAACAAAAGCGATTAGTTCTAGCAGAAGGGATTAGTTTCTCATAATGTAATGAACTAAAAGATCTAAACTCCTGTTAGGAGAGTTATCCGCATTTAGTGTTCGATAGTATTTTGAATAAAATTATTTTTAATAAAAAAATACCTATACGTAATAAACAAAAATAAAAACCCTATAAATGAGTGGCGTGTGTGTGTATATAGTGTACGAAGCATCCGCTTTTAGAAGGCTTTATGGCCTTCTTGGGTTTGTTCCTTTCAAATATCTTCTTCCTTTCTGGCTAGCCACCATCTCTTGATGACCACTAAAATTGCAAGATTTTGACAAGCACTAAGATATATGCGAACAGTTCAACGCTCTCACTTTTGCGCCTGTGAATGTAACAACCTGCTCTCCTCCTGTCATGTATAACAGTGCACAGTTTACGGAACGCTTTATTATGGTTTGTTTAATATTTTTAATTGACCCGGGTCTAAAAGGGACTTGATTTACGTGGATTCCATTCTAATCCAACCCCCATGCTCCCTCTTACGGGCTACGGCCCAAAATAAATCAAGATCGATGATGAGCTGCCAAGTTGGATGCAGAAGAGCTAGACATTACATATTATCAGCACAACAGATTCCATTTCATTAAGATAAATTGCCTGTTTATTTAACCAAATGGGTGAAACTCGTCAAATATCTCAGTCCCTGAGTTTTCAGTCTTCGCCGGGAAAGAATCCTCTCCTAATTAAGAAGAACAGCTAGCATAGCGAAGACCCACAAGTCATTCTGAAAAGACGATGGGGATTTGCTTTGTTGAGGGGAACTAATTGATGCAAACAATAATGACTTTATTAGTGATGAATTGGAATAGGGTGAAGTAGGGACTTGGTAAATATTACTCCTCCGGTCCTAATTATAAGACCCAATTGACTTATTTGAGAAGATTAAGGAAGTAAGTTAAAGTAGTTATTTATAATAAATAAGTGTTGTCATTCCTAAAATATCCTTGCTAATTAAGTATATTGGCTAAAACTATCATTATTAGAAGGATTATCTTGGAAAAAAATGCATAATATAAGAGACAAAATGGATTGAGGTCTTATAATTAGGACCAAATAAAAAGTCAAATAGGGTCTTATAATAAGGACCGGAGGAGTACTTCTATTTCTAATTATAAAATCTTATTTATAGATTATAAATAAAATTTTATAATTAGATACGAAAATAATATTAAAATTAGGTGAAGCAGCAACGAAACCCTTGAAAAGGGAGCTGGGACGAAAGCAACGCGTGAAAAGATGGCCACTAATCACAGAAAAAAGTAGGAAGGGGGCCGCATGAAAAGTACCCCGTGACAGCCACACA